CACATAGAGTACAGCGGTGACCTTATTGGAGAAATACAGACGTGGATCCTGGGTTGGTATTACAGCAATTCTGTAGATTGACTAATCCACCAAGAGCACTTTCTCGGTTTTAAATGATATGTTTCAGGTAGCCTTTTGGCAAGAGGCTGGACTATGGGCCTGGTGTGCTATATTCCCACAGAAGGGGCTGTGGCAGCTATTCTTGCGGGAGTGTGACACATCCCCGGAGGATACTGACACACTTGATTGATTGTGCCAGGCTGGGTGCTGGGTGGCTGGGGTCTGAGACAGGTGGGAGACTTCTCATATACACCTCTTCTAAAAATGTTTCACTGTGAATTTTTAACTTTATTTCCAAGCATTTATTTGGGATAATTTTCACCCTTTGGTATATCTTCTCCAATCTTTTGAGTTTGGAGCCATGTGAATATAGTATCTATTCAAAATGCACACGCTTCATGTAAAATAAATAGCACGTGGTTTTGCTATTATCTCCTGTGTTGTGGTGGGAAAACAATTTTCTCTCTCCTTCATTGAGCAAATGATCCTTGATTGCCTGCCATGAGCCAGACACTGTTGTAGGCCTGGAAGACATGTTGCTGGGCCTCGGTTTCTTCATCTGTATTGTAGGGTGTTATGGTTTACATCTGGATGTCTCCCCAAAGCCTCATGCGCTCAAAGGTGGGGCTTTTGAAATATGATTGGATTATGGGGTATGGCCTGTTAGGAGGTGGGGTTTGTGTGGCAGAGTTAGGTCACTGTGGGTGTGGCCTGATAAGGCAAATCTCCCTTCCTCTCCCCCTGCCTCATGTCCGGGCTGCCATGAGGTGAGCCGCTGTCCTCTGCCAAGCACCTGTACCATGCCGTCCTGGCGTGGAGCCAGCCAACTATGGACTGAAGTGTGAACCAAAATGATCTTCACCTCCTTTAATTTGTTGTCATGTACTGAGTCCCAGCAATGAAGAAGCGACTAAGACATGGGCAAACTAGATGATCTAAGGCCTTCAACTTGAGGTGCGGCAGACTCACCAGAGCCCCCGAGCAGTGGTCTGGGTGGGGCCCATGAACTAGCAGGTGTGGCAGGTGATGCTGATGCTGCCAGCCCAGGAACCCCACTTGGGAACCCACCTAAGTTCCATCTGGATCTGTGCTAATAAATAAACTACATTCCCATTCTGTGAATATCAGCAAATAAAGCAAGGTTCCTGGAGCCCAGAACAGAGAGTATTCCTTCTCCCCAGCAAGCTGAGAGGACTTCACTAGACAAATGCATCAACAGAAATGAAAAGATCTCGCCTCCATGAAATCACACAATGTTCTAAACCTGTGAGTCCCAAGATGTCATTCTTCCTGGGGGAAGAGGTGCTTTGCAGGGCTTTCAAGGAAGGTGAAGTAGACAGACCTAAGCCAAGAAGGCATTTGGAAATCACCAAGCCCAACGCCCACAGGAAGAGGAAGATGCTGCTGGGTATCACCTTAGGGCCCAACACAGTTTATCCTGGCTCACAGAGGCGTCCTGTGAGTCCCTGACAAGCCCAGCAGGGACACCTGCACCCAACTCCATGGCTGTATTCATGCTGCTCCCGTCCCCTCCACCTCTTTTGGTCTCACTCGTCCATGAGAACTGCGGTGCACTGTGGGTGCTCTCCCTGAGAACTAGCATCCACCCACCTCTACTGGGGATCCTTCTCCATCTCTCTCAATTCATTTGGAGACCTGATCATTATTTTTACTCACTGATTCATTTATTCAACAGATATTGTCCTTCCTTTAACAAATCCTTATTAGAGGGCCTGTGAGGTAATGGGCGTCATAATAGGTTCTGGGAATAGAATCATAGATTATAGAGACTGATTCATTAATCAAATAACTGCACTGGTGGCTGCCCAATTACAGACTGAGAAGAGTGGTCCAAAGGAAAGGAATATGGTTTTATAAGAAAGTAGAGAAAGGGACTTGATATAGACTTGAGATTTGAAAGATGCTCAGTACTTGGCTAGATGAAGGGGAAGTGAGGAGGGGGAGAGCTCTGCACATGGAAGAACAGCATGTGCAAAGGTCCTGTGCTGGGAAGAAGTGTGGCCCGTTCCAGGAGGGAGCTCCGTGGAACAGCTTCAGGCTTGGGGGAGATGATACTCAGCAGCCTTGAACACAGAGGCTCTGACCATCAAAGCTGAGGGAGTCACTGGGGGGAGTGGGGGTGGGGGAGGCCGCAGAGGGGGAATTTCCTGGGACTGCGTCACAAGCCCGGAGGAGAGAGCATTACCAGGAAAGACGGTCACTTCTGTCTGGGATGTTTCTCATTCCCCCTCTCCCTGCTCACTGGCATCTGCGTTCAGGTCTCATCTGTGTCTTCCCTGAGTGCAGCACAGTTGTGCTGATTCTCAGGTTTCAAGGGCACTTGAAGCCTTTGGGAGTGTGGACTGGATCTGGTGACACGAGCCACCTTGGGAGCAGCGAGGGGACTTGGTCTCCCTGCTTTTGAAGCCCCACACCCTGGCCTCTCCTCTGAAGTCTGCAGTAACGTCCATTGCTCAAGTTCACTTCATGTCCAGGGTCCTCTCTGGTGTCTGTGGACAGCCTCTGCTTCCGCTTCCTGCTGCCTTCCAGTTGCCCTACATCCCCCAGACCAGAAGCTGCCTCACAACCTCCCGCCTCTTTCTCCTGCAGGAAAGAGACAGAGCCCCAGCTCACCTTGCAGGTGGAGGGCGCGACTCCAGGGATCTCCAGACTGTTCTGCTTAATGTCTTTGCTGAAAGAATTTTATAAAACTCTTTCTCCCTTCACCCATTTTTAAGTTTAAATCTATGTTTGTTTTCATATGTTTGCAGTAAATGTGATTTCCAGTCTATCCTAAACATTGATTAAAAACAATAAATAGCCTCATTATATAATCCAGGCTGGAACTTGCAGCGATCCTCCTGCCTCAGCCTCCTGAGTGCTGGGATGACAGGCGTGTGCTGCAACACACAGCAATATTTTTAAGTATACTATTGGATCACTGTTTAAAAATCTATCCAGTGGAATCTCAACACCATAGCAATTTGATGCCCACTGTCCCTCATTTTAAAAATGCATGAATTCGCTCTTCTTTAATAGTCTGTTCTTTTTCCTCCTGGAAATTTTATTTCCATTTGGCTTTCCCCTTAGAATTTTATCCTAATGTAATATATGTAATATATGCTTATGCTTAGAACTCTTTCATTTGTGTCCTTACCATGTTTCTCTACAACAACTTTATATAAGATTGAAACTTTTAGGGCCAGAGATTTAGCTCAGTGGTTTTGCCGCTTGCTGCGCAAGCGCAAGGACCCAAGTTCGATCCCCAGGACCAAAAAAAAAAAAAAGATTGACACTTTTTTAATTTTCTTGAATCATAAAGCTCTGCGTATTAAAATTTTGTTCAACTTAGAGTTATTATAATTATGAACAGAACACAATTATCGGAAAATCACAAATGTATGCTTAATTTGGATAAGTAATTAATAAACATAAAAAGTAAACATATTGAAAATGCATCTCTTAATGAGATGGTCGTACTGGATGACTTTTTAAATAAACTTTTTATAGATATACAACATGCTCACTCGTACCTGACCAGGTCATGGTGAACAGCTTGAATTATCACAGAGTCCAGGTGCCTGTGCAGTCACCACCCAGGGTTAGGAATAAAATATTGCTGGTGCTTGAGTATGTCTGCAATTTGTTTACTTATCCATGTAAGAATCTTATTTATGGGCTGGGGATTTAGCTCAGTGGTTTCGCCGCCTGCTACGCAAGCGCAAGGACCCGAGTTCGATTCCCAGTACCAAAAAAAAAATCTTATTTATTGCTAGCGTGAGACAAGAATCAGCATCAATTGTATTTCTATTTTTCATTTATATAGATATAAACACTGAAAACTATTTACATGAATTTGATTGAAATGGAAGTTTGTTGGGTTTTTTTGTTTTTTGGGGTTTTTTGGTACCAGTGATTGAACTTGGGACCTTGCACTTGTGAGGCAGGCAGTGGAATGGAACAGAAGTTTTGTTAAAGTGGGGTCGCTGTGTTCTTTGATCTCCTTCTGAGCTATATAGTGATCTGTCACCAAGAATTACATTTTAATGTTTTCTATTAGTTCTTCCTAGTTAAAAAAGAAAAAGAATGACAAGTTTATCTTCCAGAGAGAGAGGTTGATTTACCACTCATCTGCTTTCTCTCTTGACTTTGCAGGTGCCTGCTTGTGTGGTCGCCAGTGGTGTGGTGGGAGGGGCAAGGGGGATTCTCTCTGGGTCAGTGACCCCCAATTAAGATCTGGGGTGGGCTGGTGAGGGGCTTTCCATTCTTTGTGTAAAGGAGGGTGTTGCTTATGAAAGAGCAGGCGTAGAAGGACAACTGGCCCCTCTTCAACCCCCAGTTCTAGAAGAGTTTCTGTAGAAGTTGAGGATCTGGAAACGATTCTCTTAAAACTTGAGCATGAGCTTTCCAGTCTCTGAATTCCCATCTCTCCTACTCTGACCACTTTTATTATCTACAGATCTTTCCCCTTCATGCTGTATTTCTTCATGTGACCCATCACCTTTGCCAACTCTAAGCTCCTCAAGGGGCTCCAGCCAGGTGCCCATGTCTCGATCATTTCCTAGCATTCTGCCTTACACTTAGCAGGTACCTAGTAGGTATCAGGTAAATGGCCTATCATCAGTTTCTTCACAATACTCCGGGTCCTAGAATGGTGCTGGATGTTCAGTAGCGGGGGTCCCAGAAGAATAGATGAATCAATCAATGAGCAAAGAGGAAAATAATAAATCCATGAGCTAATGAGCTACTGGGCTGGACAAAGGCTTGAGAGTAAAAGAGTCCACACCTTGTGGGAGAATCCAGATCTGCAGACTCATAAAGGCTGTGGAGTGTACAACACTGCTTTATATTCCTCTCTATAATGGGTCGTTATAGGTACAGCCACTCATCAGAAAGCATCAATGTAAACCGTGTCTCGCACTTTGCATCTTGTCTTGCAGGTGTGTGCAGCCTCTTCTCACTGTGGTGGCATTTGGTCTGGACCTCAGCGTGGGTGAGGATGTAAAACCCCCCGCTCTGCACATGCGTGGTCCAGGCCAGCAGGAACCCCCAGCCCCGGCCACCCTCACGCACATGTCAGCCGTGGAGTAGTGTGGACATCTCCTCTCAGCTTCTCAGGGTTTCAGTCTTTGGCTTTTCTTCATTTACTTTGTTTTATGGTTTTGTGGCTGGACATTGACAACCAAGTCAGGCACCATGGGGGATCAGCAGTTGTACAAGAGCAACCATGTGACCCACGGTGGTGAGAACCTTTTCTACCAACAGCCACCCCTTGGTGTCCACGGTGGGCTGAACCACAACTATGGGAATTCAGTCGCAGCGGGTGGAATGGATGCCCCTCAAGCTTCGCCCATCTCCCCCCACTTTCCTCAAGATACTCGGGATGGTCTGAGCTTGCCTGTTAGCTCCAAAAACCTTGGCCAAATAGATACCTCGAGACAGGGAGGATGGGGAGGCCACGCAGGACCTGGTAACCATGTCCAGCTCCGTGGCAACCTGACCAACTCCAACATGATGTGGGGGGCGCCGGCCCAGGTGGAGCCAGCTGATGGCTATCAGTACACCTACTCCCAGGCCAGTGAGATCCGGACCCAGAAGCTCACCAGCGGCGTGTTACACAAGCTGGACTCCTTCACCCAGGTGTTTGCCAACCAAAACCTGCGAATCCAGGTCAACAACATGGCCCAGGTGCTGCACACCCAGTCGGCAGTGATGGATGGAGCCCCTGACAGTGCCCTCCGCCAGCTGCTGTCTCAGAAGCCCATGGAGCCCCCAGCAGCTGCTCTGCCCTCCCGCTACCAGCAGGTGCCCCAGCAGCCTCACCCTGGTTTCACAGGTGAGCTGTCCAAGCCGGCCCTGCAGGTCGGGCAGCACCCTGCCCAAGGGCACCTGTATTATGACTACCAGCAGCCCCTGGGCCAGATGCCGATGCAGGGAGGACAGCCGCTGCAGGGCCCCTCGGTGCTGTCCCAGCCCGTGCCACAGATGCAGCACCAGTATTATCCACAGCAGCCACAGCAGCAAGCGGGACAGCAGCGTCTCTCCATGCAGGAAATGCAGCCGCAGCCTCCGCAGCAGCTCACCCGCCCGCCTCAGCCTCAGCCTCAGCAGCTGCCGCGGCAAGGTCCAATGCAGATACCTCAGTATTATCAGCCCCAGCCTATGATGCAACACTTGCAAGAGCAGCAGCAGCCATCGGTGCACCTGCAGCCCCCATCTTATCACAGGGACCCCTACCAGTACACCCCGGAGCAGGCACACGCAGTCCAGCTGATTCAGCTGGGCTCCATGGCCCCCTACTACTACCAGGAGCCCCAACAGCCCTACAGCCATCCCCTCTACCAGCAGAGCCACCTGGCCCAGCACCAGCCGCGTGAAGACAGTCAGCTGAAGACTTACTCCAGCGACAGGCAGGCCCCAGCCCTGCTGAGCTCCCACGGGGACCTGGCACCTCCTGATACCGGAATGGGAGACTCGGCCAGCTCGGACCTGACCCGGGTAGGCAGTGCCCTCCCCCACCGCCCTCTCCTGTCCCCCACGAGTGGGATCCATCTCAACAACACGGACCCTCAGCATCCACAGCCGTCTCCCAGTGCCATCTGGCCTCAGGTATTCTCCCTGTGGTGTTTCTCCCCAGTCTCATGGTATGGCAGGGCCAATCCTAATCCTTCCCCCAACCTCCTTCATACACTCACAATGCTAAGCTACCGGTGCCAGATACTGTGCCAGGTACCTGGAAGTCAGAATCAACTTTTTTTTTTTTTTTTGGTACCGGGGATCAAACTCGGGTCCTTGCACTTGCAAGGTAGGCGGGGGAACCACTGAGCTAAATCCCCAGCCCCAGAATCAACTTTGATTCAGTCCTTTGCCCAAGGAGCTTATGATCTCAGGAAGGAGATGGTCAAAGAGTGTCCCAAAGTGAGTCACGTGATGATCCAGATCTTGAGTCAGATACCAGGGAACCCCACAGTTAGGTGGGTTTCTCACACCCCCTGCCTGTTGGATCTGTTATCCTCAGTGTATTTCCTGGAAATGGGTCTCCCTTCAGGACTGTTATGACAGCATCTCTCAAAGCATATTGCCCTGAACAGCAGTTCTGCAAAATATTAATGATATTGCTGAGAGGCAGCAGGTTCTGCATAGATCTGGAGATTCTTAATGTGGACCCTGTAGGCCTTTAATAGGCCAATGTGCATTGTGCATACCACAAAAGGGATAGTGCTGCAGAACCTAGGTTGCAAAGTGGATTAGAAGGGTCTGGTACGAGACAGGAGGGAGTGGTGGGGACTGTGGACAAGAGAACAGGGACCCATCTCATTCAAGATGTTTAAAATCAATCCAGCCAAACAAAACATGGCTGACAGCCACATTGACCCTGTGGTCCATGGTTATTAACCCTTGATTGGTTCCCCCAAAGTGGCCACAGACAAGCCTACTAAAGTCTGTGCTGGGTACCATTCGTGCCTTGGCATGGTCAGGTACCATGCTCAGGTGACAACGGGGCCTCGGGCAGGGGGGACCTGAAACTCGAAGTAGATGGTAGAGAAGCCACTAATGGAGTTCAGGGCTGCAGGAGAATTTCCCCTTGGCCTGCTTGTGTCCCGGGCACAGATGTGAGAGAGCCTTTGTGAATATATGAATGAGCTGGAGGGATGTTGTGTCACCTAGCTTTCCTCTCCGTGTCCTGTGTGGGGACAGAGCCTGTTGTGCAGGGTGGGTGTGCCCGGAGAACAAGAAGGAGAGGTGGGAGCCCTTTCCTGTGGGCCTGTGCCTGGCACAGCTCTGGGAGAGGTGTGGTCGTCCCTCCTCAGGGGCAGGGAGGTGAAAGCAGCCGGGTGCAGCAGAGCAGGGCCACAGTGCGCACCAGCAGGGGCACTGGGCCCGGAGCCCTGCTCTTCTCACCGCCTGAAACCCTCCCTCAGAAACTTTCTCTTTCTCTTTCTTCTTCCCTTTGGTGTCCGGCGTGGCTCAACACTAGATGCACCTACCTGATGGGAGAGCCCAGCCAGGGTCCCCTGAGTCAAGGTAGGACAAGGGGCCACTTGGTGGGATTGGGGAGACTAGGGGTTTTCCTGGGTTGTTTCTCATTGTTCATTTCTATTGCAAAGTCAGCTTCTCCAAGTGTGCAGGGGTAATAGTAACAGTGCTGTATTTGGGCACTGAGAGGGTGGTAGGAGCACTGTGTGCCTGGCCCTAGGCGACACTCGAGGGTAGAGCGCTTGCCAGGTATGTGTGAGGCTCTGGGTTCCATCCCCAGCACCTAAAAAAAAATCAAAAACAAAATGTAAGCACTCAATAATTGTTAGCCATCATTATTATCATTTTATAAAAGAAAAAAATGAGACTCAAAGCTGGGCATGGTGGCACACACCTGTAATCCCAGCACTCTAGGAGGCTGAGGCAAGAGGATCACAAATTCAAGCCCAGTTTCAGCAACTTGGTGGCTTGGGGAAAAGTCCAGTCTCAAAAAAAAAAAAAAGGCTAGGAGGCAGCTCAGTGCGAAAGCCTTGGGTTCAATCCCCACTATGAAAGAAAGTGGGAGTGAGGGAAAAGAGAAGGGAGGAAACAGGCTCAGAGAGTTTAAACAGCAGTGTGAGGATTGACTTCAAAGCCCACGTTCTGTCCACTGTCCATTCCTTTGGTTAGTAAGGATTTATTGAATGCCTCCCGTTGCGTGCAGCAGTGCACAGTTGACCTGCTTTCTCATGCATGAGCATGGCAAATAATTAAAGATGTAGGCAGAACCTGAACTGCTGAAACACGCAATCCAGGGGCTGCCCCAAGGGACATCAGACACACTTGTCACTCAGCAACACCTCCCAGGGAGCTGTGCTCCAGCTGACCCCAGAAGGGCAGTGAGCCACAGCGGGGAGAACCCCGGTTCCTAAAGGCCTGGAGGGAAGGAGAATGTGTTTGTTGGGCAACTCTTGTGGGACTTCTATGGGCCACAGAGTGGGGCACTGAATGCATGAAATGTGTTCCTCGGGGTGTTTGGTCTGGGATGACTATTCCCCCTTCTCACTGTGAGTGTCCTCTCCACCTGGCCCTCCCCTGAACAGTGGCCAACCCAAAGGAGTGTTTGGGGAGCAGTTCGATGCCAAGAACAAGCTGACATGCCCCATCTGCCTGAAGGAGTTCAAGAGCCTGCCCGCCCTCAATGGCCACATGCGGTCCCACGGGGGAATGAGGGCCTCCCCCAGCCTCAAACAGGTTAGCAGGCACCCCACCCCACCCCCGTCCCGTCCCGTCCTTCCCAGGCCATGTGCTGCTTGCTTTGCTTTGCCGCCATCAGACACGGGTGACACAGAGGAATGTGAGACTGAAAAGCCTATACTAGGACACTGGGAGAAGCCAGGCCTGAAGCCCCCTCTTCCCTGGCCTTGTGGACAAGGGCCAAAAATGGGTGCTAGAAATCCTTTTAGGGGATCCCAGTCTTCCTCCTGGAGAAGACAGCCAAAGAAAACATGTAAATGCAGTACCCTTTTTAACTTGTGTTGCTTGAAACCCCCCTCCCCCAGCCATGGTCCTTGAGCCTTCAAGGTCAGCAGTTGGTGACCAAGGAAAGCACAAGTAACCGACAGGCTCTCGGCCAGAACCCTCTGCTCACTATTGTGATGGTGTTCAGCTGCAACATCCAGCGTCCCTTAATCACTCTGGATTATCCAGGGCAGCTGTCCAGGTAGCAAACTGTCCATGAGTTTTTGAGTTAGATTAAAATTCTCAGAATTCCTTGCACATTGTTGATCCTAATCTAAATCTAAGGGATTAACTCTGTCCACCAAAATCTTGGATTACCTGGATCTCTCCATCTCCTGGCCATGCCAGATCAAAGAGCTTTGTCTTCATTTCAAACAAACAAACAAACAAAATATGATTTGCATTTTCAGTGTGGTTTCTTAACCTGGATAAAATTGAGGATGGAAACCAGGCATAGTAGTGCACACTTATAATGTCAGCACTCTGAGAGGCTGAGGCAGGAGGATTGCGAACTGGAGCCTAGGATAGGCAATTAGTGACTTAGTGAGACCCTGACTCAAAATAAAAAATAAAAAAGGCTGGGGATGTAGCTCAGTGCAAAAGCCCTGGGTTCAATCCCAGTACCAGAAAAAAAAATTAGAATGGAATGCCTAATTCCATTCGATGCATGTGTGAACTGAGGCCCACAGAATTAGAAGGTCCTACATAAGATCACACACTTTATCTTGACAGACTATAAGTCCATGTCCTTTTCTTTCGAAACAATGACAACTCCAAATTTTAAAAATATTTCAATATGTAAGTGATACATGGTCAAGATGCGTCCATGAGGAAACAGAACGCATGGCCTTGTCTACAACCCATCAGCACCACTCAGGATGGGGACCCAGGTTACAGGAAGGATGTCACCGGCAGTGGTTCTCTGTCACCCACGCCTGATGTCCTGCAACCTTTCAGGAAAAGCGAAATGCATTCCCCTCGGGAGAGCTGCGCTCAGCCCAGGGTCAAAGCTTTCATTGTCTGTGTAGGAGGAAGGAGAGAAGGCCCCGCCGCCTCAGCCCCAGCCTCAGCCCCAGCAGCCACTGCCGCCTCCACCTCCGCCTCCGCCGCAGCTCCCTCCCGAGGCAGAAAGCCTCACACCTATGGTCATGCCCGTGTCTGTCCCTGTCAAGCTTCTCCCGCCCAAGCCCAGCTCTCAGGGGTTCGCCAACAGCATCGCTGCCGCCCCCTCCGCCAGAGACAAGCCGGCCAGCTCTGCATCGGATGACGAGATGCCTGTGCTCGTGAGGATGACCCTCTCTCCCCCACACTCTCCCCAAGGGGCTGCCCCCCGCGCTCCCGCTGTGAGTCGCTGCTCTGCCCCCCTGCCTGGGGCGGGGACATCCCTTTGCTTTCTCAGAGATAGGGACAGTTCTTCCAGGGTCACTGGCCAGAGCTCAGCCATGGCCCAGCCCCCTTGGCCACCTGTCCACTGCCTGCTGCATTCTGGTTACTCTTGCAGGCTGATGGCTTGGCTTGGATTCTGGACACCTCGTGGTGTCCCCAGGTTAGGACAGAGGATGGCTCAGCCAGCTGTCACTGATTCAGCCATACCAGTGATTCAGATGCGGAAGTACTTCTGCTCCGGACATGAACAGCCATTGCCCAGGGTTCCCTAGGACCTCCAGGCCCCTTCAAACATGGCCATCAAACAGGTCACCCCGGCAAAGTGATGTTTATCACTCATTGTTAAATTCTTCTTCCTTGCCTGACTGCCCATCTCACCCCACTCTGCCCTTCCCCGGGGAACCTGTGCCTGCATGGTGGGCTGTATCAGACTCATCCCACCCCACAGCCTCCCGTTTCGATCTTGTTTGTCCTTAGAGAAGAGGCGGCGTAAGGGAAAGTGTGGGCCAGAAGAGGCCAGGGAGGATGATTAAGAGAACCAGAAAAGTCAGGAAGAACCATTTTGGTTCCTGTTGCTATCAAGGACTCAGAAAAGGAGAGACTGATGGGAACCTGGAGAGGAAGAGTCTCACGAGCTGGCAGGAGACCAGTGACAGACAGAGAGGAGCCCACATGCCCAGGTCCCCCTCGGCCCAGGGTGGCGCCTGATGTCCTAGGAGGAACAGTGTCTGCCCCGGGAGAACTCTCAATCAGAGTTCCTAGTCATGCAGGGCCACAGCCCAGGCAGCACACACCCCGCCCCAGACACTCAGGGTGGTAAGAGAAAGATGAGAGCAGAGGAAAGAGAGAGGAGAGGATCTAGAAAGAACCCTTGAATTCTAGCCTCAGCTGTGCCCCTAGCCAGGTGGGACGAAGACAGCTGAGATGCTCCCCCCTCCAGCCTCCCTTTCCTCCCTTTCCCTGAGGCCTGGACTCCTCTGTGGTGGGAGCTGTAAAGGGCTCGACTCCTGGCCCGGCCCCAGAGTCTAGCTGCCCCCTGGGGAGACCCTATGATGGCACCTGTCCCGTGGACATTCGGAGTGCTGTCTGCCCAGGTAGCTCACAGCCTCACCAGCAGGATCAGGCAATCTTGTGAGGAGCTGGAGGAACAGGACTCAAGGGCACAGGAGGGAGAGCCCAGAGGGGCTGTGGCCCCTGGGCTTAGCAGTCAAGTTTGCAGGACACAGGATCCTGTGAGGCACCTGTGCCTGGATGGCCATCAGGGACCTGGAGCAGCTTAACTTTAAGGGCTGCACCCTACAGGGCATTGCCTCCTTCCCCCACCTCGGCTTCTCCCCCACCTCGGCCTCTCTTCCCCACCTCGGCCTCTCTTCCCCACCTCGGCCTCTCCCACTTCAGCCTCTCTTCCCCACTTCGGCCTCTCCCACCTCTGCCTCTCTCTCCACCACAAGGGCCCTGAGCTGCGGGCCTCAGGTGGGCGTCACGTGGGTATGTGTGCTGTCACGTGGCCGCCCTTCCCGTCGACCCCCGCGAGGCCCCTGGCTGAGCAGCACACTGACCCAGTGTCCCGTGGCCTCAGCAGCGCCCCTGCGTGTCTTGGTGTCTGTCACGCGCGAGGCAGGTGTCACCAGACCAAGTGGTGACAGGGAGGCAACCGAGAGGTGCGGGCCCACACTAGGATCCCTGTGCCTTTCCAAGGGCGCGGGTCCCCTCAGCGGGGCTCCTGTCACTCAGGTGTGGCGACAGTAGAGGAACCCAAAGCCGCGCCCCAAACCCGGGCGGGGCGGGGGGCGGCTCTGTTCCCACCCGAACCCTGGGGACAGCGGCCCCGTGGAACCCGCACTCTCCCCACAGGACGCGCCCCGGAGGCCGCCGCGCGCCGAAGAGCCCCGCGCCACTGAGAGGAGGAAGCCGCGGCCCCGGCCCGAGCCGCTCTTCATCCCGCCGCCGCCCGCCTGCGCCCCAGGGCCCGTTGTGGGTGCCACCGCCACGCTCTTCCAGAGCCAGCTGCGCTCGCCACGCGTCCTCGGGGACCCGCTGCTCCTGGCCCCCGCGCGCGACCGCGAGCCCCCGCCCTACACACCGCCGCCCATGCTGAGCCCGGCGCGCCAGGGCTCGGGGCTCTTCAGCAGCGTGCTCCTGGGTGGCCACCTGGGCGGCCCGGGGGCGCCCCCGGCCCTGCCGCGCACCCCGCTCACGCCCACGCCGCGCGTGCTGCTCTGCCGCCTCAGTGAGTGGCCAGGACGCGGGGGGGTGGGAGGTTCCCAGCCACCCACCGGCAGGCTGGCTTTCGTCGGGTATCTAGGGGTAGCAGGTGCAGACCGCTGCGCAGAAACAGAGCTGGTTCTCAGCCTTAAGGAATCCCAGGGACAGGGTGGAGCCTGCTCTCGATATCTAAAATATCTAAGATGCGTTGGTAACACTCCCAAGAAATGCATTTAGAGGGCCGGGGATTTAGCTCAGTGGCACGGCGCCTGCCTGGAAAGCAAAAGATCCTGAGTTTGAGCCCCGGTACTGAAAAAAAAAGAAATGCCGGGGTATATTCAGGCCTTGACGTTTTAGCGTGCTTCCTAAAAATCCAGCATGAAACTTGGGCCTGGTGGTGCTGAAGTCTTGTACTTCCAGCTCTCAGGAGGTTGAGGCAGGAGGATCTCGAGTGTGATCAGCTTATTCAGACCCTATTTCCAATTTTTCTTTAAAATAATAAAAATAAAAGAGCTGGAGATGGAGCTCAATGTAAAGTCCCTGGGTTCAGTCCCCAGCACTGCCAAAAATAAAATAAAAATTTTAAAAATTCAAGCTTGAGCTCATGCTTGGAAAATTAAGGCAGGAGGATTTCAAGTTCAAGGCCAGCCTAAGCAACTTAACAAAACGTCTTTTTTGTTTTGCTTTGGTTTGGTTTGGTTTGAGACAGGGTCTTGCTCTGTAGTTCAGGCTGGCCTTGAGCTCACTATGTAGCCCAGGCTGCAGGCTGCCTTTGAACTCGTGTGATCCTCCTGCCTCACCCTCCCAAGTGCTGGGATTACAGATGTACACCACCACACCTGGCTGACCCCATCTTAAAATAAATAAAAAATAAATATCATGAGGAACCTATATCCAGGATCTCTTTCTGCATAGAAACCATATAGCATGGCAGGCCAGCATGAGGCAACTGGCTTCTCACCCTGTGTGAGAAATGGGTGCCCTAAGCTATTTAGCACCAGGCTGCGTCCCTCTCTCTGGGGACCGAGATGGATTGGGGAGGAAAGGAGGCTGCCCATTTGTTTTAGTTTCTTCAGCGCCCCTTCCCTGTTGGCCAGTGATCTGTGGTTTTTGTGTTTCAGACAGCATTGATGGCAACAATGTGACGGTCACCCCAGGGCCTGGAGAGCAGACTGTGGATGTTGAACCGTAAGGAGAAGCCAATTACTCTTTAGGACAGAAGCCTCAGCTCAGGGTGGGATTGGGAGCTTTGAAAAAGATAGTTCTTGGGGCGGGGATTTAGCTCAGTGGTTCTGCTGCCTGCCTTGCAAGCGGAAGGACCCGAGTTCGATCCCCAGTACCAAAAAAAAGAAAAGAAAAAGACAGTTCTTGTGTAGTCAGTGGCTGCAGAGAGAGAAGTTATAGAAATTGTAGGGTCACCATGTCTCTTGAGTATTTTTGTTTCCCTCTAATGTCTTATATTTTAAGGTCTTGGCTAAATCCTAAATCCATAGTAAAAGCCCTGGATGCAGAGAACCTAGCATCCCCTTCTCTTGTCCCACAAGCCAGCCTGTGTGGGCTATGTGATTTCACATCCCTGGTGGCAGTGAGGCATCTGTCTTGGGTTGCCCAACTCTAAGAGGCTCCTTGCTGGGCATGGTGGCACACACCACTTAGGAGGCTGAGGCAGTAGGATTTTCCCAAATTCAAGACCAGCCTGGGCCTACCTAGTGAGTTCAAAGCCAGTCTGGATTACACACCAAGACTCTGTCTCCAAAAAGAGAGAGAGAGATATGTCTGAATGCCCTTGTTGCCCCATCTGCTCTGTCAGATTCTTGGCCAGTCTTCCTTGAATCATGTGTGAGTACTGGGAGGTATAGTAGCCCCCCTTTTCTATAAGGGATATGTTCCAAGACCTTCAGTGGACTCCTAGAACCTGGAGTAGTACCAAACCCTGTGTACAAGCACTCAATGCCCCTGTAGTTTTATCTGATAACCAAGAGAGCCATCGATAACAGATGGGCATCATATACAGCCTGGATACTCTGGACAAAGAGATGATTCACACATGGGCAGGACAGAACGAGTTGACCTGAGATTTCATTATGCTACCCAGAATGACAATTTAAAATGTATGACTGTTTATTTCTGGAGCTTTCCATTTAATATTTTTGGACCTCATTTGACCATAGATAACAAGCCATAGAAAGCAGAACTGCAGATAAGGAGACACTGCTGTGTTATGGAAAGGAAAAGTGGCTCTTTACATGGGTAAGGACAGAGAGGCTAGGTGGCAGAGTACTAAATGTACTGATTCAGGAATCAGAAAACCATTTTGGGGATGATGGTGTACATGTATAATCTCAGTCCTTAGGAGGCTGAGGCAGGAGCATCACCACAAGTTAGAGGCCAGTCTGAACTACGTAGTGATACTCTGTCTGGTAAAAATAAACACTTCATATTTGGGGGTGTTTCCCCCCCTGGTTACATGGTACCATGAGTGATGCTCTGCACAGCTGTTCTTTTGGAATTAGCCACCTGTCCACACCAGATACAGGGAATGTAATGGCCCGGGCTAGCTGCTCCCCACAACACTCCCCCTGTCTTAGAGCTGTTGCTTATCTCAGTGAAAAACCTGTGCCTGGAATCTTAGGGTCAGACTGTGAGGAAATGCCCCTGTGTTCTTCTTGTAGAAGGAACTAGTTTCCTCCTTTTGCAAGTTCCTGACAGTTGACCTTGGCCTAAGCAATCAAACTGAAGACCACATGGTTTTTGGGGGGGGTTTTTTTCTTTTTGTTAAAGACGCATCAACATTGGGTTGAAATTTCAAGCTGAGATCCCAGAACTCCAAGATGTCTCTGCCCTGGCCCAGGACACACACAAAGCCACACTAGTATGGAAACCTTTACCAGAGCTGGAAAACCAAGACCTCCAGCAACAAGGTATTGGCCCATGGGAGGAGCTGGGCAGGTGGCCAAGGCTTGCTTCTCTCCCTGGGACTTCTGGCTCCAGGACTGGTGGTGTTTTCCATTATACTGAGCTCTCTCTGATGCAGTGGCTTCTCCTTGTTCCCAACAGTGGAAAATCTTCTAAATTTGTGCTGTTCAAGTGCATTGCCAGGTGGAGGAACCAATTCTGAATTTGCTTTGCACTCTCTCTTCGAGGCCAGAGGTGATGTGATGGTAAGGAGCCATGGAAAGGATGCTTCATGGTGGGGGTCTATACTCTTCATACCAGAATCCTGTAGAGTGCTTTCCAAAGTGTCTGTACCACCCCATGCACCATGCAACTAATTCCTGAAGTCCATGGCTGGTCAGCACATGCCACGTTTGTTCCTCATTTCAATGAGTAGGTCAAGACTTAATAGCCTAAACAAAGTCTTTGCAAATAGGGAAGGGTGGAGGGGGTGAAGGGAAGGCAGGGGAAGGGGAAAAAAAATAAGAACCAAGATACTCATGTAATGGTGTAAGATCCCAATGATGAATGTAACTGTATTTTATACCTAAAATGTACCAATAAACTTAATGGGGAGAAAAAAAGACTTAATAGCCTGTGGGCCAGGGATTTAGCTCAGTGGTTTTGCTGCCTGCTATGCAAGTGCAAGGACCTGAGTTTGATCCCCGGTTCCAAAAAAAAAAATGAAGACCTAATAGCCTGTAGAAAAGCATCTCCAGTTGGACTTCTCCTTATACGTCTCCTCCTGGTTTATAATTGTGGGCACATCTGTCCTAGGAAATTAGTTCTTTTTCTTCTGTTTGGTATTTCACATCAGAAAACTGAGTCTCCAGTGATGGAGGTAGGAAGTTTTCCTGAAACAAGAGTTGGCCTAAAGCAGCCTGGCACACTGCTGATAGTCCACCCAACTATGGAAATCACCCACGGTTGGATGTTTACAGGCCTCTCTTCTTTTCTAACTCAAAGGAAGTGTTTACTGTACACCAACTGGTTCCATTCTTTTACTTTTAACATAGTTCTGCACATGTCCCCAAACCAGAGCCATGGTACCCTCTTCCCAGAACCACACCTGACCATTCGCCTGCTCAGCCTGGACTTCTGGCCAGATTACTCCATCACTAACCTCAGCTTCCCCTTTGTGTAAATACATGGTTCTTCCTGGTACTAGACCCAGTCTCCTGCCTTTAGATTTTGTGAAAATAAACAATTGGCCCAATACTCCAATACCCTTCAAGTATCATCTAGAATGTTGTGGAACTTCTCTTAACCCTTGGAGATCAGTGTTTCAGAATAGCACTTCTCAGACTTTTAATGTACATACAAGTCAGCTAGGGGATCTTGTTAAAATGCTTCTTCTGATTCAGCAGGTGTGGGCGGGGCCAAGAATCTGCCTGTCTTAATTGGCTCCCAGGGGATGATGGCACCACAGGTCTGTGGACCACACTTGAAATAGCAAGGTTAGATTCTTGGCTTTGCTCTGCCTCTAAGCAATCTACTGCTCAACTCTATCTGCAGCATTTTTTAAAAATCCAAGGTGGCTGATGGAGGCATATTTGAAAGGGTTGAGTTAGTGAGGCTCTGTGGAAGGACAAGGCGTGGTGGAGTTATTACTAACACAGCTGTTTATGTTCAGTTGTAATGAGACATAATTTTTCTGTAAAACAGTTACAAATCACCCACTCGTTCCTGGATTCCTTCCCCAGAGACTCAGCCTCCACTCACAGGAGGCCCTCATCAAGGCAGGAGTATGTTAGCTTTTTATCACTGTGACAAAATAGCTGAATGAACCTAAAGGAGAAAAGATTTATTTTTGGCTCAGAGTTTCCAAGGTTCTAGGCCTTGGTCAGCTGTGACTGCGGTGTTTCTGGGTCTGTGATGAGGCAGAGGATCATGGCAGAAGGGTGCAGCAGGGCAAGGCTGCTCACCTCATGGCAACTGGAAGTAGAGAGAGGAAGAGCCAAAGAGCCTGTGTTATGGGCTTCCTCCTTCTGCTTTTGTTCCACCTGTATCCCCACCCTTTTGGATGGTGCCATCCATATTTAGGGCAGGTCTTCCCCATCCATTTGCTGTCCCACTTGCCAGTCATCTCCGGGAGTGCCCTCACAGACACAACTAGAGAAGTGTGCATTGCTGCTTTCCTAGGCATTCCTCCATCCAATCAAGTTGACAGGATTAACCATTAGAAGGAGTCAGGTCTCAGTCACCACTGTGTTTTCACTGACACAACCAACTGGCTTCAGGCATGGACTGGGGAGGGTGTGAGAACCATGGGTACTGTTGGGTGCTGAACCGAAAGGAAGCCTACTTAGGGTGGTCTCCGTCTGGCTTTCTTTCCCATGCCTGAGCCCCCAGGATTCCCCCTTTGGATAGATGACCTCCCTAGGACACACAGACCTCTTACTGACACTTGCCTTTGTTTCTTCTCTATCTACAGGCAACTCTGGAAATGCTGCTGCTGGAGAAGCCAGTCAGGTTAAAATGTCATCCTTTAGCAAATTACCACTATGCCGGTAGGTTGCCAGGAATCCTTATGCCCTGTTACTTCTTGAGAGCAGGCTGCTTGCATGTCTGGCTGTGTTCCTTCTCAATAACAGAAAACACTGGTTCTGTCCTAATCATCACTTGTGACCAAGGCCTTCTAGGGCATAACTGGTGGGTGCATTTGTGTCTGTTGCCCCACTGTTGAGTTTTGTCTGGTGACCTCCTGCCCTCGTGGGTGTGCTGAGGCCTGGGTGATAGTGGATGGTGCCTGCATAAGTGGCAGTAAGACCTGTGCATTGGAGGAAAGAGCCACAGAGGGTACAACACAGAGTGACAACAATGAACAGCTCCCATGTCTTTGGCATTGGTAGAGGTGGATATGGATCTTGACTACACTCCTTGGCCTTCTGCATCCTTTTTTTTTTTTTTTCCACTGTGAAATAAGGCTTGTATTCTACTCCTTGCAGGGATTTTGTGAAGATGATAGGTAGTATATGGAGGCCAATGCCTGGCACATCCCATTGTTATTCATCTATTCAGTTGTTACTGTGTGTACAAGGCAAGCACTTTACCACTGAGCCACATGCCTAGGCCTACTGTGTATACAAGGGACTGCTAAGCACTAACATGCAACAGTGGCTATGACAGACGAGGACAGTGTTCTGCCTACAGCTTGGAGTCTAGGGAGGCGGTTATTAAACTCAGAGTGGGAGAAAGACTTCATGCACGAGAGTCTGACAAGCGTGTGGATTATGATAGCACTACCAGTAAGAGGGAAGTGGAAGGCACCTTTGAGATTTGGATGGAGTGAGAAGCATGAAAAGAGAGGGAAACAGGTTGGGAAGCCCGAGAGGAAACGAATGAAGCTGAGGTCAATGTTTCATTTCCATTAACTCTGGCGAGCCTGCCCACTCTGAGGTCTCCACAATCCTGCTGGGTTCTCTGTTTCAGAGGGGCTGAATCCCCCAATGCTTCTTGACTTTTAATCATTTGAGGGTTTCTTTGGTACCTTGGGGAGACCCTCCCTAGGTAGGTGCTGGATCTGCTCCTTGTCTAAGTGACTAGATGTGGCCAAAAGTGAGAGCTTCTTTATAGAACCTGGAGAGTTCACCGCTTGCCTTATTCAACATGCTCCTGTTCACTCATAAGGAAGCTTTCCTGACTGTCACCACCAGGTAGAAAGGCCTTGAAGCCACTCACTAAGCATACCACACTGTGGGTCACTCTCGGTAACTAGAACTAAGCAAGCACAGAATGGACAATGGAATAAGAAATCAACGGGCTGGGCCAGGGATTTAGCTCAGTGGTTACGCCGCTTGTCTCACAAGCACAGGGTCCCAAGTTCGATCTCCAGTACCAAAAAAAAAAAAGTAAATCAGTGGACCAGTGGCCTAAAGGAGCCAATTTTGTAATGTATTCTCTATCATTTCCTGCTTGGGTCTGTCCCAAGAGTGGGTAGGCAGATGTGGGAATTCTCTTTAATCTGCCATGAACAGTTGCATCCTCTCTTAATTCCCAGCATCATCTGCTGCCCATTAAACCTGACCCTCCTGTTCCCTGTCCCAAGCTTCTCTGTATAGTAAGTGGGACAGTGGGCTGGCTAAAAGGAGCTTTTTGCCATGGGCTAGGAGATGAGGTGGCTGGGGTGGCCAGGACCTTGGGGTTGGTCACATCCAGCTGTGAGCAGCTTCACCTGGGACACAATTTCCCTTAGTTCTTCCATTGTGCCAAACAAGTATGATTATTTTTATGTGTATTATGACATAAAAAAGACTGGAGAGCTATGGACTAGAAGCCCCATACAACTCCAAGCAAAACAAAACAAAAATACCAATATATTACCAAGGAACTGGAGAGTCCTAAGCTCTGTTAAAGTAAATTGGTCTTTTGGGCTTCAGGGTTCCTACCTAAGCCCTTACCCATCCCCTGCTGTTTTCCTCCCAGACAGACCAGGAAATTCTCTTGCTTTCTGGAATCATTTCATCCCTGAGGGATCAGAGGTGGAGCTGAGGTATGAAGAGTTAGCACCTCCAGGAAAAGAATGCTCACTTGTGTGTTCCAATCACTTTGCTTTCTACAGGGAGTGAGTGAAGACAAGGCTTCAGAGAATCTTCTAGAATTATGAGCAGAAAGGACAGAGGTCACTGGTCTTTAAAGTCTGACCCAACTCCATGCTCTTAGCTCCCTTCTAAGCCACAGAAGAGGCAGCAGAGGCCACCCTAGCACCTGTCCAGGCTATCAGCTACCGCCTCCTGACCCCCTTATTAGGATCCTGGGTGTCAGTGAATCCTACCTGTTGTGGCCCCAGCCTGCCTCGGTCTCTGTGCCAAGATCCATGAGGAGCTCCAGTAGGGCCGTCCACTCCGTTCCAGCCTCATTGTGAAGGGTCTTCGGAAACCCCATAGGCTTCCAGCTCTGTGGCTGTGGGGATATCACAGGAAGCCACCACCTCCTGGCCCTGGGTTGACACCTTAGGCTGCCACTTGTCTAGAAAAGAGGTAGATCTGCTGGGTGAATCTTTCCCCTGGAGGGAGGGCAGCAGACTGGGCTCAGGGAGAGGGCTGAAGTGTGGTGGAAAAGAGACACAAGCCTCTGGAAACCGCTTCCTTCCTTTACTCATTACCTTCTCTTCCTGCTGCACCCTGAGCAGTTCCATGGGAAAAGGAAAGTGACCAATGCTGGGAGCCAGAAGAGACATGCTAAGGGGTGAAGGGCCAGTGGATGGGCAGCTTCTCAATCTGAGGGCTGCTTGCCCAGGCCCCATGAACCTGTACAACATCCTCAGAGGAAGGTGCTGCCTCCCTGGCTCCCTGCACTCAGTTCGAGCCAGGCTGCATGGTCCCTCAGCACCCTCCCCCCTATGTGGCTGACAGTTGCCTGCAGTGGTTCCCAACTTACACCTGCATTGGCTGTGGAAGGGTAGGGCAAGTCTGGTCAGGGTGGGGATGTGCCTCCTTGTCATTGGACAACTTTTGGCATCCTCAGTTTCTCCACTGAACTGGCCATTCTGCAGGTGGGCACAGAGTGAGGGGTGTTAAATTTGGGCCCTGGCTTCTTGGCAAGGGTTCAGCAGAGACTTTTGTCAGCTCCCACCATAGTCGAGGCTCTCAGTGGTCCTGGAACTGAGGGAAGCTCAGAGGAAGCACATGCTCCATGGGGGAAAGCCTGGTCTCTGCCTTAGAAGCTGGGCTAGTATGATGAGGGGGCAGAGTTACATACTCAGGAGAATACTTTTCAAGAAACACAGCTGTGATTTCACTTTCCAGGCACACTTGGCCTATATCTTTAGTTGGACACTGCTGTTTTGCTCTCTTGCTTTTTTGCCTTCCCTGACACAGCTCTTGTTTAAAAAAGGGGGGAGGGGGTTAGCTTAATGGTTCTGCCGCCTGCCTTGCAGGTGCAAGGACCAGAGTTCAATCCTCGGTACCAAAAAAAAAGTTTAGTGGACAAGTTCAAAATATGAATTTAGATTGAGGCCTCCCTCTTTTTTGCCCCAGAGGTAACTTTGGTGGCAACCTGTTTCACCCTGCACCTCCAAAAGAATTACTCAGCTTTCACCCACTCTGGAAAATCCTTTGTAGAAGTGAAGCTCTGGTACAGAAACAGCCCTCCTTTTTCTGTAATGAACCTGTCTTTCTGGGCTAACTACAACAATAACATTAATAAAAGTTTTTTTTTTTTAATCCTGAAAGGAACACAGAAAGGCCTTCTAAAAGATACTATGCCCAAACTTTCTGTTCCCCCTCCGTGTCCCTTTTTAATTGGTTGAGTTCACTGTAGATTGCCCCCAAATTAACTACAGTCCAGAGCTTGTTTCCCAGCAACCGAAGCACAGAGCATTTTTCCTCTGGATACTGTTCCAGCACCAGTTTCATCCAGTTAATTAGGCTCTTTGTCATTAGCCTTAATCCGCTTGTTAGGGGCCCCTGCTGATAATAGCCCAATAGCCAGGAATCCCAGGTGGAACAAATGAGGCTGGGGGGATGTCAGCCCACTGGCCCTGCATGCCTGCTGAGTGGGCAGCAGGGATCTTACCCAGAAAGTGAGGGCAGTGGGAGGACAGAAGGAGAGGGGAGGATTTGCGACAGCCCCATGCCTCGGTTTTGCATTTTATCTTGGATTTTGTCCAAGATACAGAATCCAAGAGCTGGCACAGAAGCTTGTCTGAGAATGAGAGAAGTGAGTTCCTTACCCGATAGACTGCAAAGAAAGAGTTGCCTGAGCCTTTCCTTGGCGTCGGATTCCAGGCAGCAGGAGTTGCTGGCTGTGGCATTGAAACAAGGGGAGCAGGCACAGGAACCAGCCAGCTTCACAGGGGCCATTGGGTTCACACCAGAAGGGCAGCATGTGGCCCAAGGGCTTGGGCTAATTTGGAATCTGCTATCCAAGTGGCCAGCAAAGATCCAGAGCATCTATTGATCCCCTACTGGGTGACAGTCACCATCCCCATGCCATGGATGAGGAAACTAAAACTCAGAAAAGTTAAGTGACTTGCCTGCAGTCACAGAAGGAGTAAAAGGGAGAACCACATTCACAGCCTAAGGTTTCCTGACTAATGTCACCCTTTTAAAAATCATAGTACAGTGGTATTATTTGGGAAGGGCACATTCAGATGTCACTGATCTGTACTAGGCTCCAGCTTGGGAATTCAGTCCAGCAGCCCAGGGGTGGAGTCTCAGCCCCTATGGGCAGTCCTGAGACAGGAGGTCAGCTCCAGGGTGAGTGGGAAAGGATCTGGTGTCTCACCTGGCCTTTGCCCCTCACTCTTTGGACTCCATGTTGGACACACACTTGGACAAACTGCTGTCGCTTACACTAAAGCACACATCGCAAGACTCCTCAGGGAGCTGTCTCTTCCTCTCTAGGGCCGAGCTCCCTACCCCAGGCCCTGCTGCCTCAGAGGGAGAGGACAGCACAGAGTGGAAGGGGAGCGCGCAACTCACCCTTCTGCAGTTGTGCAGAGAACACATCCTGGGAAGTGGAAGATCCCATCACAGAGCAGCAGCCCCAAAGTCACTACAAGTCACTCTCCCCATGAGATCTTCTATACAGCTAGTTCAGCAAGTTAATTCACTTTCTGTGGAGCTATGGCCGGCAAGCCACATGGAAACAATAAAGGGAGTGGCTGCCTGAAGCTGGCAGATCTGGGAGCTTGACCAAGCTACTCTTTAGGCCAGCAATCAGGTGGCAAGCCTAGCATGGTTGGAAGGAAGCATATTTGCCACAGAGATGGGGTGGGTCTGAGCAAGCTAGGTGGCCCTATTAATATTGCCAGGTCTCAGAGTTTCACCAGTGCAGGAGACTAACGGTCTGGCTAAGGTTGGAAAGAATTCTCACTGATCTCATTGAGGGTTTTCATCACACAGTATCTCCTGATGTCCCATCTGAGCTATAACCAAGGGCCACTCTAAACTCCCAGCCCCTCACCCCTCTGTTGTGGTTTGCTCAGCCAGAGGCCAGGCCTCCAGACTCCTGGAAGATGCGTCCTTCTGCTGAGGGTTCTCCGTACAGCTTCCTTTCTAAAAGAAAAGATAAATAATTGCACTGGAATTATTTGCACTGTGGAAACCATACTATACTCTGAGTCTGGAACAAGAACCCTTGGCTTGAAGACCCATGAAAGAGACACATAGAAAAGCTGTTTATTTCAGAAATCTGAATTTCCATCGCTGAGCTATTCCCTCAAGGATGCTAGGACGTCTGCCCACAGCCTCAGGAGGCCTCTCCCTGGCGGGAAAGATTTCACCTGATTCACTGATGTTTGGCTGAATCTTCCAAAGGAAGAGGCATTTAGGTTCCCTGTACTTCTGCCCCATCCCCTGACCATGACTAAATGGAAACCTTGCACCTGCCCTGGAAAGGAGAGAAGATGCTGTGGATCGGGGACCTCGATCTCTTAAGAAGTGGGTGAATGTCAAAGGCCTGGCCATGTGCCATCCGAGGAATCTGATGTGCAGAGTTCAGCAACCTGGAAGGGTGGAGCTAAGATTTCTGAGCCCACAGTAACTGAACCTTGCCTAGCACCCACTGAAATAGGAGCCCCATATTAGTTTTGTATTGCTAAAATGAAATACCTGAGGCTTGGGGCTTTATAAAGAGAGGTTTGCATAGCTCACAATTTTGGAGGCCAAAAGTCCAACACTGCATGCCCCATTGAGTAAGCTGGCCTCTGGCAGGAACCCCTGGCTGCATCACAGAATGGCAGGTGGCATCCTGGTGGGAGTGAATGTGAGAGAGAGAGAGGAAGAGAGGGAGGGAGGGAGGGAGGGGGAGAGAGAGAGAGAGAGGAGGGAGAGAGAGAGGGAGAGGGAGAGGGAGGTATCACAGAGGAGATAAGGAGCCAGAGAGTGACAGGGAGCCAGAGAGTGACGGGGCCAGGAGTGATCTCTGATTAGGCCCTACCTCTTAAAGGTTCTTTCACCTCTCAACATTGCCAGTTCTAAAACATGAGTGCTAAGGGGATCCACTCATCATATCCCAATTATAGATGCCCCTTAGAGGCAGGCATGTCTTGCTCCATACAAGCCCTGCCATTTGCTTTGTCCCCTGCATGTCCTGCTTCCTCTTATGGAGGAAAAACACAGGAATATCAAGTTTCACCAACCCTGTAATTGAGCCATCCTGGACTTCATTCTTGGAAGACCTCCATTCATTGTCTGTAAAATGGGATACTAAAAATAACAATCTTACAAGGTTGGTAGTAGAATTTAATGATTAATAACTCTAAATCATTTAGAATGTGACATGTAGGAAGCATTTACAAATGTTAGCTCTTTCCTAGCGCAGCTCTTGCTTGTAGCAGACACCTCGTGAATATTCGTGGAATGAAAGAGTGAGTGAAATGTATCATCTTACTCTTGCTTCTTTGCACCTGCTAATTCCTCGCCCCAGAATTCACTTCTATGGCTTGCTAAACAGTTGTGTTTTGTGGCTTTAATTAAACAAGCCAGCAATTAAGCGTGGGGAGAAATGTTCTTACAAAGTTTGTGTTTTGTTGTAGGTTCAGACAAGTGGACCTCCCTAGAAAGAAAACTGTTTAATAAAGCACTAGCCACTTACAACAAAGACTTTATTTTTGTACAGAAAATGGTAAGCATAATTTCTCCCATTGCTCACTTGAAGTTAAATTTGAAAAATTGTATATCCAAAAATACTCAAAACCTTTTGGTACTTGGTTTAACATCCTTACCAAAAGACTGTGTCCACCCTCACTGGTGAAGGGTCCTAGTTGGTGGCCCCAGCATCAGGGTGTAGGGGGAAAAGACAGATTTTTGGATGCTATAATGTTGGGGGTCTCTATCTTAATAAAAATGTATAATTCATAATTCTGTCAGAATAACTGGAGCTTTAGAATAGCTAGCACTAGGGCTTCTGGTTCATAATTTGCATAATTTATATCATGTATATTTGACAGATCTATCATGGTTTTGTTTTTTTTTTTGGTACCAGGGATTGAACTTGGGTCCTTGTGCCTGCAAGGCAGGCGGCGGAACCACTGAGCTAAATCCCCGGCCCAATCTATCATGTTTTTGACAAAATTTTTCTGGGAAATTGTGGAGGGGAGGACATGTGACCCCCCCTCCCATCCTGTAGAGAAGTTTCTGGAATTAGCCCCCTAATCATGATGACAGTAATAATATAAATAATATATTATGTATATAGCATTTTGCCACAAAATAAAACTTTCCTGTAGATAAAATCATATACTTTATACAACAGACAATAAGCTTTATAGGCTTTATTTGGCTGAGAGATGGTGTAGGCTAAAAAATTAAAATGTTGAGAATATCTCGCCAAGTTGATGAATGATTGTGCCATATTGGTTATGAAGGATAATTCAGGATGTGCAAGTACATGCAGAGCAGCGTCATGGTGACAGCTCCCAGGGCAACTGGTTGGTCCCCAGTAGTGTCCCAGGATAGTGTGTCTCCTGCTGCTAGTCCAAAGCCTTGCCCAGATGAGCATCAGAAATCAGTGGACTTTGATCCGCCTTGCCTCCACCTGGAGCCCTACCTCTGCTCTTGCCTTTTTTTTTTTCTTTCTTTTTTTTTTTGGTACCGGGTATTGAACTTGGGACCTTGTGCTTGCGACGCAGGCAGCAGAACCACTGAGCTAAATCTCTGGGCCTGCTCTTGCCTTTCTATGCCTCTGAAAACCACACCCAGCAACGCTGACCTTTCTTGAATCACCTTCCCCCCAGAATCAACCTGGTATCTTAGTCAGTTTTTCATTACTATAATATAGTACCCAAAGCTGGGTAACTTTATAAAGGAAAACAGTTTCTTCAGCTCATAGTTGGGAGCTGAAAGTCCAAGATCAGGCAGCCCTTGGTGCAGCCTCTGTTAAAGGCCCAGTGGCAGGTGGTATGGCAGGACCATGTGCAGAAGTGAGAGGTCATGTCCTGAGACAGCTCTTCAGGGCCCTGGCTCACTCTTGTAACAACCTGGTCTTTGGAGAGTCACCTCAGTCCCTCCCAGAGCAAGGCCCTCAGTGACCTGAAGATCCCTCACTGTGCCCCAGCTCATGAAGGGTCCACACCTTCTAGTGCCATCACCCCAGTGACTAGGCTTATGGACCTTTAGAGAGCAAACCACAGCCAACTACCTGGTCCTCGCCTTGTTCTTTGAAGGCCCCCTCACCTGGTGGCCATGATGAACTCACGTTCTGGGCAATGCAGATGTTGAGCGAGGGCACTCTGGGGCGGCATCCTCACTCCTGGGCTAATTCTAGTGTTGAAATTGCAGGCATCAGGCGGGTGCTGCAGAGGACAGGACTTCTGGCGGGTCCCTTCCCAACTTGGCATGAGGATTACCACGTTCCCATCCCCAGGGGTGGAGCCGGCCTTTAATCTGCCTCTAGAAACCTCTCCTGAGCAGAGAGATACAGGAAATAAAGGAATATACATCCCTAACCCAAAAATCCAAAATCCAAAATCCTGCAAAGATTTTGGAGCTTTTCAGATTAGAGATGCCCAGCCAGTAAAATCTATATAGATATCCAAGATCCAAAAGTATCCCCCATCTGAAACACTTCTGAATAAGTGATATCTTTGCCTCTTTGGGGATGAACAAGGCAAAGCTCATTTCCTGCAAAAACTGAGCCCTGTCACCATAACTTTTGCCTTATATTCCTATTCTATTACTAAGGGATATTGCTCATAAGTAGATTTGGAAGGTCACATCAAAGAAATAAGCACACTCAAACACAACAAATGAAAAGGCAGCTGCTCTATGGGATTAAAAACTGAGTAAACTCTGTGGGTTGACCACAAACAAAACTCCAGCTCTATGATGTAAAAAAAATCAAGTTGCAAAACTATTTATTGTGTTCTTGCTATGGCTTGTGAAGATGAGGTGAGGAGAAGTAGACTTATGCATGCTGATACCGGCCTAAAGAAATTCTGCATCAGGGCGTGGTAGTGCACACCTGTAATCCAGCACTTCGGAAGCTGATTGCGAGTCCAAGTCCAACCTGGGCTGTTTAGCAACTTAGTGAGACCCTGTTTCAAAAGAAAGAGCTGGGGATGTAGTTCCATGCAAAGACCCTAGTACCACAAAGAAAAAGAAATTCAGGAGTGATACCCAAAAATTTAATAGGTGGAGCTAGAACAACAGGAGTGAGAACAAAGTGGGAGGGAGCCTTTTCGTTGTATCCCTTTTTTTTTAATTGAACAGAGTTAGTTTACAAGGATCACAAGAAAACCTATTAATTATCCCTGTTGCAAAATTAAATATTCCAAAAAGCTTGCTCTGTGCCCACTGCTGGAGATAATCCTGAGCACCCTTCCTGCAGGTGAAGTCCAAGACGGTGGCTCAGTGCGTGGAGTACTACTATACATGGAAGAAGATAATGCGGTTAGGGCGGAAACACCGGACACGCCTGGTGGAAATCATTGAAGACTGCATGGTGAGTGGAGCCGCTGAGTCCTTGCTTGTGCTGGCCCCGTCCCCACCCCACCAGGTTACTGATTGGCTGAAGTTTGGTTTGGCTTTGCCATAGAGAGAGCCAGGTCGCCAGTGTGCGGGGGACGGAGGTCCTGCTCCTTGTAGAACCCAGGACTTGACTTCCTGGTGCAGGTGCAGGGAAGGCATCCTCAGGTTAGACCTGAGGTGTTTAGTGACACACGTGAAGGCTGGAAGCTCGAGCCAAGGACAGTGAAGTCAAGATGGTCCCAGGGTCCGCTTGGTTGATTTTTAAGCAGGTGATCTGACCCCTGCAATGTTCCATCTTTTGTTGTTGTTGTTGTTGCTGTTGTTGTTGTTGTTGTTGTTGTTTGGGACCAGGAATCAAACTCAGGACCTTGCACTTGCCAGGCAGGTGCAGTGCCACTGAGTTACATCCCTGGCCCTTGGAATGTTCCTTCTTGATCCTTCCACATCACTGATTCTGGAGACCCTAACATCCCTTAGAAAGATGGAGGCACCCTAGGGTTTCTAACACTTCTCTAAAGCTTGAACAAGAGGCACTCAGTCACTGAGGACCTGGTGAGCAGTGTGCAGATGACCCCACTGCCTGCATCCCCAGGCAGCCCTTCCCGTGACTTCCTCTGGTAACTGATCCCAAGTCACTTGCACATGAAGTACACACTAAACTCCCAAGATGGAAATAGACTCTTGATAGTTCCATGTGCGTGGCTTCGGTAATTATTGTCACTCGTGACTCCTTGTAGACGGTCTCTCTGCTCTGTATCTGTAGCCTGAGGAAATTTCCTTGTCACACTCTGTGAGAAACATTCTGGCTGTTCCTGTAAACATCATGCCTTACAACAACAAATCACTAAGCGCTAGCCTATGTCACCACCTACAGAAGTGTTCACATTCGTGAATATCTGCATGTGTATTTTCATTCCCTGCGTGCCTCGGTGATGTTAGTGCATATAAGTTATTTTCTTTAGCAGAACTTTAGTACTTTCTAGGTGTCAGGCATTGTCTAGGCAGTTTATAAATATTGACTTATCTAATCCAGTATAATTCATTTAATACCAATTCCCTGAAGTAGGAAACTGAGACAGAGCCTAAGTAAGCTGACCACGGTCATACAGCTGGGGAGTGTGCTGACTGAGCCTGATTCCCTCCTATTATACTTATGAGCAACCAAAAATGCAAATTCTCTTTGAGACGTATAAAAGCATATGAACTCATTAGTGCCTCAGCCTAAGCTCTTAGTTAAGCATCAATCCTAGCTGTGAAATACACACAAATATAAATTTATGTTAGAGCCCAAATGTTAGAATAGAAAGTTGTGGAGGGTGGGAATTTAGCTCAGTGGTTCTGCCATCTGCCTCACAAGCGCAAGGTCCCGAGTTCAATCCCCGGTACCCACCCCCCCCAAAAAAGTTGTGGAATAGAATAACATTGCCATTTTTTTAAAATCAAAGATAGCCATATTCTAGATTCAAGATAGCCAGTGACCAGGGCTTTTGTTTGGTTTAAGCATTGACAACTTCTATCAGAATATTCTGCCTTTTGCTCATGGGTGGCCTAATGTTTAAAAGAATAGCATGGCCTCCTCTGGTTCAGTCAGCTAAAAGCACTTGAGTTCTCACAATATAAACAGAAATTTGTAATGGATATAAACAGCAAGGATGTTAAGTGGCCTCTGCCTTCTTGCCCCCTACCACCCAGAGGATATATTCTAGCTGGACAATATGACATATACAAGTGACAACTTTACCTTGAACCCCAGGAGCGTTTAAGAGCAGTATGAAAACCAGGAAGTCTTTTAAGACAGCCTTAGGGACACTCACCAGTTCCACCATTTCACAGGCAGCAGGCTGAGGCCCAGAGAGGGGAAGACGCTTGCCTGGGCTCACAGACCATTGCTGGGCAGGTGAGTAGATCGGACAATGGAGGAGGAAACATAGAGAATCTGGCCTTGGAGGCCTAGTGTCAAGCCCTAAGTATGTTGAACTATACAGCAGGGTAGACAACTTTGATGATTTGGAAAATCCCTCCCAATTCTGAATGTGCTGGGCCCTGTCTGTGCCATGTTGGCAACAGGGCAAGATTGGAGGATATGGTCTAAGATCATTTAGTACCTCTCAGTCATGGGTGGCACCAAGTACCTAGGACAGTGCCTGGTATAACACTGCCAGTGTCTACTAGTGAGTGGGTGAACGTTTTTCTGAGTTGGGAGTCAGTCTGGTTCATGGGAGTGTCCCATCTCTGAACTCACTGTGGGGAGACAGAACGAGGGGGATACAGAGCAGGAAGCCCCTAGAAAGATGCTGTCACACGGGCACAGGCACCATCTTGGTTGGTGGGTTTCAGAAAGGCCCAGACCAGCGTTCAGGCTCCCAAACAGGGGAGGTGAAGATGATGGCCAAGGGTCACACCTTCTGGGCTCACTCTCCAGGAGCCAGCATTGGGTGGCATCAGGAGCATCCACACCCTGTTACTTGTAAGTGTAGGGAGACCAGGAAACTTATGTGCAGAGATGACTCAGCCCACAGAAACAAGGAAGTCTTGATTGATGAAGGCCTGCTTCCTCTTGGGCACTGTGTGCACTGTCTGCTGAGCATTGTTTGCCCAGTGAAGGTGAAAGTTAGGACATCTGGGAAGGTGCAGAAGGCACAGTCCTAGGGCAGGGTCCTGCTCTGTGTCCTCTGGGCCTGCCTGGACAGCTGAGACAGCTCTCCTGATCATGTGTCCTCAAGGCTGTATTAAAAGGCAAGTGAAGGCAGGCATGAGGGTGCACTCCTGTATTCCAGCACATTTGGGACAGGACCAAGGAGTGCAGAAGGCTAAAGTTTTGGAATCAGACCAGGCAGGCTTTGAATCTCGGGTCAGCTTCTTTATCAGCTATGCGACCTTGAGAAAACTCTTTCTCTGTCCAGTTTTCTCATTTGTACAGGGTTGCTGTGAGAACTAGGTGTGTGTGTGTGTGTGTGTGTGTGTGTGACAATTTATTCAGTACAGTGTTGTCATTGTTATCAGTAGTGACTGTAAAGTGTCTGTACCACTCCAATTTGTCTTTGAGCAGGTTTGGGTTGTTAAACATTCATTCTAACTTCCCAGTTTCTCATAGTGTGGATTATGTTTGTGTGACTGAGAAATAAAAATGTCATCCTCCTCACAAAAGTCTGTGTGGACGCACAAGGTTTGGCCACTGTGTTAAATACACAGCCTCCTCCCTGCCCTATATTTACCCACTTTGCACCAATTTTGGAATATTACTAAATGTTTCATTTTGCAGTGCATCATAAAATGGCCAACTTGTTGATACAAAGTTCTACATGTTAGGATTTTTGTCCTCCTATCTTTGTATCTCTTAGTCATTTTGTGAGCCATATGGCTTGATGATAAATCATTTTGTGAACATGTATGGATTGCCAGTTGAAGTAAAACCCATCTAAATTCTTGAGATATACATAATCACAGTACAGAATAATTTAATGTACAATTTCATGGATACAGGAAATGTTTCTTCTAAGTTTTTAAGCCAAAGAATGGAATGGCCTTGAGAAAATTATAACAAGTACCATGAAATAAAGACGATTGTCATTAAAATTTAATCGGGTAATTCATTTTCAGTGCAAAACTGTAGACCATGGTCTGCTTAAATATTTGAGACCACAAGGTCCCAGTTTTTTAAAGAAGTAGGAAAAATCCTAGGAGTTTGATGTAACGTGGTTTTGTCTGAACCTCTTGGTCTGAAAGATGGTGTCTTCCAACAAGGATAAAGCCATTGAAGTGAAATCAGCCCATGCATTCTGTACAGTGAGAAGTCTACAACATATATACACTGCCCTGTAAAACGATTAGGTCTCCATCAGTATTCACTGAACTCTTCCAGCAAATATAATCATTACTAATTAATCTTAATTAACCTACTGAAAACTGGAACTATTTCTTAAATCCGCCTCACTAATACATCATCTCAAACCCACATGCCTGTGATGTTACGGACAGACGGCACCGGAGTGGCGCAGGTTGCCAAGCGCCCCACATTGGCATTGTCTTTCTCACCCATACACCCCAAACCCAAATGGAAGAGGAAGCCTGTGTTTCTGGATCCCAGAGCACCACTGCTCTCAGAAATCTTTGTTCTTCTTAGAAATTGGTACTTCTGTGTTCTAGGAATCATTTGCTTTCCCAGTTTTTCACTCGGGAAACCAAGACTGGTGTTCACTTGCTCTGGTGGGTCTGGTGGAGACAAATGGCCTGTTGGGCAGAGGCAGGGACACGCCTGTGTTTGCTCCTTCATAAAATGAGAGGGTTGTTTGCAGCCTGTTCAGTGACAGTCAATGCGAAACCATTTTTGTAAACATGAAATACAAACTACCATGAAGAGTATGTGCTGTAGAATCCCCTTCCTCGTCCTCAGCCCTTCCTGGGGCTACAGGAGGCAGCGGCCCTCAGCCAGCTCCCAGGGAAAACACAGCATTCAGTAGGGTGGACCAGGGATTTAGCTCAGCGACCCAATGCCTGCCTGGAAAGTGCGAGGTCCAGAGTTCAATCCCTGGTACAAAAAAAAAAAAAGAGGTAGGGTGAGGCCTCCTGCATCCAGCCCACTAGGCCCCACTCCATGCTCCTCCTGTCACTTGCACTGCATTAGCCTCAAGGAGGGGTGGGGCCTGCTGCTTCTATGTTTCTGCTGGTTCCCTTTCTGCCATGGAGAGACTAGATGTAGGAGCTGAGAGGATAATGAATTTCTTGTCCTTTTTTATAAAATGCCTCTGGGAGGAGAATATGAGTAGATAGAAACACTGACTAGACAGCTTTCTCCAAACCCATGGTCAGAGACAAAAGAAAATGCACATAATAATAAGTTAAAGGGAATCTCCCCTCCATTTCCCCTCCTTTTTCCAATACTTCTGACAAGAGCAGAGTAGGAACTTAACTCTGTAGGGCACATCAGGTATTACCCCTGGGAGTATGGTAGTCAGCCTCTAAACCAGCCAGGCATGGTGGGGCACCCCTGTAATCCCATCACTTGAGACACTGAGGACTTAGTTTGAGGCCAGCCTGGGCTACTTAGTGAGTTCAAGACTAGCCTGAACTACATAGCAAGACCCTGTCTGTAAAAGAAAAATAAAAGGCCTGCAAGGCAAACCGTTATGTATCTCTGGTTTCTTTCCAGAGGGGGCTCCCCAGTATTGTCATTGCTTGAGAGCCCACAGGCACACACACTGCTGGGACCAGCGGCCTGGCTGAGGTTCGGTCCTTTGTAAGGTGTAATGGTCTTGAACAAGGCAGAGAATCTACCTACAAAACTCTCTCCTCTGGCCGGATCTCTCCTCTCTCCTCCTCCTCCTCCTTGCTCCTTGGTGGCACAAGCCTGTAATCCCAGCACTCTGAGAGGAAGATCACAAGTTCCAGCCCAGTCTGGGCAATTTAGTGACTTAATGAGACCCTGTCTCAAAATAAAAAATAAATCTCCAGTACAAAAACGAAATAAAACTTCTCCCCTCTTTGCCTAAGCATTGTTTTATATAAGAGATGAGGGGACCCAAAGTACAGCAGGAAGCCTTCCTTGACCTCAAGATTCTAAACATCAGAGGCCAACCTTTTAGAAATTGAGCCCAACAGGCTGTCAGACGATCTTAGGCAGAAGGAAAGTGACACAGCCCCGCCCCAGGCCCCCTACTAGCCTAAGAGTTCTCTCACCACTAAAAATGCTCTCTGGGGGTTTCCCCATTCTTCCTTTTATTAACATTAGACAAGTGAAGAAGAAGAAGAGTTAGAGGAGGAAGAGGAGGACCCGGAAGAAGATAGGAAATCCACAAAAGAAGAGGAGAGTGAAGTACAGAAGTCCCCGGAGCCTCCACCAGTGCCTGCCCTGGCTCCCACCGAGGGACTGTCCGTGCAGGCCCCTGGCCAGCCCTTGGGCGCCTTCATCTGTGAAATGCCTAACTGCGGGGCTGTAAGTGTGTGTGTCTTCCGGGGCTTGGGGACAAGTGAGGGCTAGCTGTAAGAGGTGACACATTTTTTGAAAGGGTGCACTTTCAGCACTGATGGTTCTGCAGTGCACACCCCTGGGCTGGGTGTCCCCCAAGGTTGCACCCCATGGACACCCCTCAAAATGCACCCAGGGAGCCCAGAGACAAGATCACCCTTTTCTCATGAGGTTACCAGCCCCCACTGCCTGAAGTTCCACCTGCCTGGCAAGTTTTGCATAGAGTGTGACTAATCCACTTGTCACTAATTTGAAATTTGAGAAAGTTACTGAAAAGATTAGCTGAAGTTTGTCTTTGTACTCTGTGGGGGTGAAAAGATGCACTGAGCTGACTGATCCTGTCAGTAGCCTAAAGGGGGGTCTGTCGGCACTGGAGGGAGCCTACTGGAGGGGGCACTGACTACATTTTACACGGAATGTTCAAAAGTGGTTTCCTCTCAGCTCAGTATAGTCCCTGTCCCTTAGCTAGCCTGAATTGGTGTCTTAAAGCTGGCACACCTGTATAGACAAGTGCTACAGCACTTCCCAGATGGGGGTGCTGCTCCTTTCACAGGAAGCCCCAGTCCTTAAGCACCTCTCTTGTCTTTTCTTGTGTATGCTGCTTATTGAGTCTGTCACATAGATGAAGATCCCAACTGCCCTTAAAATACTCATATCCTAGCCAGGTGTGGTGGCACACACCTGTCAGCCCAGCACTCTGGGAGGCTGAGGCCGGAAGATCACAAATTTGAGCCCCACCAGGGTAACTTAGCAAGACCTGACAAAATTTTTTAAAAGCTGGGCTGTAGCTCAGTCTGCAGGCCCTGGGTTCCAGCCAGTATTGAAAAAATGGAGGGCCAGGGAATTAGCTCAGTTGTTTCATTACCTGCTACGCAAGCGCAAGGACCCAAGTTCGATCCCCGGTACCCCCCCCCCAAAAAAAGAAAGAAAGAATGGATAAATATTCATATCCTAAAGCAGAAATTTATTTTATTTACATTTAAGAAAAAAGTGAAAAGTTAGGAAAAAACGGTATGTACCTTTTGTGTTAGCTCTGAAGAGAACATAAGGAATCACCACTCGTTTCTATCCCAGACGTTTAGTGGCCTGGCCCCTTCGCTCTGTTGTTGCCATTTTGCATAGAGCACTTCAGGATGACCAAGATGTGACTTGAAATGACTACATTTCTTGGTGAATTTGTTCAGAAACTGGATGCTTCCCCAATATACAGCTGTAGCTTACACTACAATTTTTTACTGACCAGAAAGTCACCTTGTACTTTCTCCAATCAGAAATGCTCAGAAAGATCATTTTTAAAGACTTTTAAAAATTGTGCTAGTTTTATTCCTTGCCTAACGTTGGAGGCAGTGGTTGCTAAATTAGCGATAGGTTTTCCTGTCTGTAAGACAAGAAACAGGGTTCATGAACTGAATGCAGAGCACTCTTCTAGCCGGGCAGCTTGTGGGGCAGCCCCTTGGCTGATAAGGTTAAGGAGCTGGACGCTTTCAGGATTCAGGGGTGTGGAGTGCAGCAGTTCTGAACTAGGGTGCTTGTTCCCCCAAGAACAGTTGGCAGTGTCTGGAGACATTGCTGTCAGGATTGCAGAGGTGGCATCTGCTAAGCAGAGCAGAGACGCTGCTAGACAGCCTGCAGCGCCCAGGACCGTCCCCACAACAGAATGGCCCGGCCCTGATTCTCCCCAGAACACAGTGCCGAGGCTAGAGACCCTGCTGTGTGGCAGTCTTTGAAACGCTGCCCAGGTCCTTCCCCATTTAGCACCCTGTACTAAAATATGAGGGTCCCAAACGCCACCTCAACAGTGGGCTCCTGGGCTATGGGTGTAGTTCGGTGGGTAGTGAGCACTTGCCTAGCGTGCAGAAAGCCATGGGTTCTAAACCCAGCACCGCAGAGAAGAAAGGAAAGGAAGGATAAAACCATGGGCTATGCTCGAGTCTGTAGGTAACATACAGCCTACATCAGAGCACAGAATTGTTGCCTTCTGATCTCTGTTTCTTGGTGTGCTAGGCTTCCTGGAGGGAGACAGAGCTGAGCAGACAGGTTGAGCCCTGGGCTGCTGCCTCCATTTCAACCAGAGAACCTCTGCTTGTAACTTGAGGTTTGAGTAAGACCAAATGTGTTAATAAAGAAACAGAGAGGGAGGGAAGGCATTCGTTTTCAGCTTTAAACAAAGTTTGGTACAGTGATCCATGCATAGCCATGTTTATAGCAGCATAATTCATAATAGCTAAATCTTGGAAGCATCCTGCATGTCCAACAATAGATGAATAGATAAAGAAAATGTGGTATTTATACACAATGGAGCACTACTCTGCCATAAAGAAGGATAAATGAGTCATTTGTAGGAAAATGGATGTATCTTGACCATAATGCTAAGATGAACTATATCAGACATGGATGGTTAAATATCACATGGTTTCTCTTATATGAGAAACCTAAAATGTGAGTTATTTAAAGAGTAAAATAAAAGAGATGGTAGAAAACAGGGAGGTAGACTGTGGAGATGGGAAGGGAATTTGAGAATGAGGGGAGACAGGAGGGCAGGGAGGGGAAGGTAAAAATGGTTGAGATTCAATATATATGTGTACCAGTTCCCCAAGGTGAATGCAATTATTATATCACAAACATGTACTAATAAACAAAATTTTGAAAGCTAGTCCAGCCCCTTCTTATTTTGCAGATGGAAAACAATGAGGTAAAAAAAACCTAACAGCCTCTCCATTAGTTATAACGCAGGATCTAGACACCTTGTCTTCTGATTTCAAGATGGCAAAATGAACCCGGGCACGGTGGCGCAAGCCTGTGATCCTAGCACTCTGGAGGCTGAGGCAGGAGGATCCCTGTGAGTTCAAGGCCAGCCTGAGCTACATAGTGAGACCCTGTCTCATAAAACAAACAAAAGGGCAAGACGGGAGGTTGTGTATTTGACCTTCAGCTTCTATGGTACCTGCCAGAGTTTGCTTTGATAAAACCCTATTCCCATTTTTACACTATTGTGTGTGTCCCTGTTTCACCACTGAGTAACTAATAACCCTAATTTCCTTTTCAGGACTGTAGATGTCATGTCACTCCCTCTCTTCCCCAGGTGTTCAGCTCCCGACAGGCACTGAACGGCCATGCCCGCATCCATGGTGGCACCAACCAGGTGACCAAGACCCGGGGAGCTGTCCCCTGCACAAAGCAGAAGCCAGGTGGTGCCCAGAGCGGGTACTGCTCGGTGAAGAGTTCGCCCTCTCACAGCACCACCAGTGGCGAGACGGACCCCACCACCATCTTCCCCTGCAAGGAGTGCGGCAAGTAGGTGACTGGGCCAGGACAGACCCCAGGTCACGAGGTCCGCTGTGGGGCTGGGCAGGGACAGCTGAGGTTTCTCCAGCTAGAGGAAGAATGCGGCTCCTGGCCTCTTCTTCCACTGTCCTTGGGCTCTGGAAGAGGACCTTCCCCTGACTCGGAATGGGGGCACTAGTGTCACTCTGCATCCTGGTCAGGAGTGCCCTAGAGCCGAGATGCCCACACCAGGCACCCCAGCCACACTGCTCACTGATTGGTCACTGCGCTCCACTGTCACATCAAGACAGAGCCGAAGATCCATTTTATCATAACCCGCTAATTAGAGTCATGTGTGACGTAAAACCTGTTTGCCTCACTGCCCTTTCGGGTATAAGGTTGAACAGTAACTAAGGGCGGAAGCTGACTGTAGGTATTAATTACAGCCGCTCACATTTACTGAGCAATTACTCTGTTACCTACTCCATGTGCAGGAACTCATTTAGTCCTTGCACAGAAACTCCTTGTGATGAGCTCATTGTCTCTACCCTTGGCTTACAAGGAGGATTTAGGAGCCAGGTGTGGTGATGCACATCTGCAATCTCAGTGCTCTGAGAGGCTGAGGCAGGAGGGTTACAACTTCAAGCTCAGCCTGGGCAACTTAGCAAACCCCTGTCTCAAATAAAAATGGGAAAAGGGCTGGCATGGGGATGTAGCTCATTTTGGAGGTCCTGGGTTCAATTCCCAGTTTCCAAGTACTGAAGGAAAAAAAAAAGAAAGAAAAATTTAAAGTTAGGTAGAATCCCTTGTCCCAGGCACACCGCAAGCAGAGAGCAGTTTCTGTTTTTTAGGGGGGTTTTTTTGGTACCAGGGATTGAACTCAGGACCTTGCACTTGCCAGGCAGGTGGCAGAACCACTGAGCTAAATCCCCAGCCCAGAGTCTAACCAAGCTCTGTCCTGCTGCAGAGCCTGGGTTCCTGACTGCTGCCCTATCCTCTAGATTTGCTTTGTTTACTCACTTTAGGAAGGAAATATTGGTGGTGAGGTGCACAGTTCTCTCCGATGGAATCCCAGGAGAGAATTCATTTCCTTCTCAGGGTTGACCTGACTCGAGGGCACTCCATGATCACACAGGACATCCTGTAGGACCCTTTCTCCCATAACCTTGGTGCCTCAAATGTTCAAAATTACCTGGAGAGACACCCCTGGGGAGGTGCTGAGGGCTGTGCCTCCACATCCTCATGGACACTGTGCGGGTCCAGGCTCTCAGCAACCCTAACGCAGTTCAGAGGTGGCCACCTCGTCCCTGTGGCCCAGTGCTGTCCTCCCCTCCAAGAAGCACAGCGATGGAGAGATTAGTTTCAGTCTCCTGTATGCCCTGCAGTGGCTCAGAGCCTGGACCAGACATCATCCTAATGTTGCCATGTTTGGGGAGCCATGCCCTGTTAATCCTCGGCTGCTTTACTTGGAGTAACAATGAAGCTACTTTCCCTTCCACCTGTTGCCCTGGAGCTGAAGGGTGAGAGCCTCAGGGAGCCAGCGCCTTCCACTCCTTCAGTTCACACGAGCTACAAGTTTATTCCACCAGGTGGAGACAGAGGATGCTTTTACACAAATGCATACAGGTTGCGCGTTTGAATCTCTGAAACCTGAAATGCTCCAAAATTCGAAACTCCTTGAGCATCAACAGGATCCCACAAGTGGAAAATTCCACTCCATGAAACTTTGTCTCATGCACAAAATTATTCAGAATTATCATATAAAATTACCTTATCGTGGGCCAGGGATGTAGTTCAGTGGCACTGCGGCTGCCTGGCAAGCACAAGGTCCAGAGTTTGATTCCCCAGTACCAAAACCAAAAAGCAATAACAACAAAAAATCACCTTCTCATATAAAATTATAAGACTCAAATGAATTTCATTTTAAACTTGGGTGCCAGCCTCAAGATATCTTATTATAGATATGCAAATATTCCAAAATCTGAGGCACTTCTGCCCCAAGCACTTTGGTAAGGGAGACTCAACCTATATTTCACACTTTCTGGCTGTCTTTCAGGGGTATGTGTTAAATATTTTTTTTGTTTTTATGCTACTTGAGTTATTTTTCTACCAGAAGTCCAGTTAATATCTTATAAAAATAGAATGTTTTATGCGGTTTTAACATCAGGCAGGAATGCCTCTTGTAGCTGCTGATATCATATTTATCATGTTAAACACTGTAATATGCTTAAGTGGAATTCATCAACCTTGTTGACTTGGGCCTTGGAAATCACAGTTTTGATTACCTTTTTTGTTTGTTTGTTTTTTCCTTTGTGAGCTTGGAAGTGAATATGGAATCTGGACAGAGTATTTCTGGAAATGGTCCAGACAGTAAATATGTTAGCCTTTGCAGGCCATACTGCCTCTATCTGAACTACTCAGCCCTGCATTGTAGTGCAGAAGCAGCCATCAATGACACACAAACAGACAGGGTTGTGTTCCAGTAAAACTATTCACAAAGAACTGGCTGGATTTGACCCACTGACCATAGTTTTCAGGCTCCCGATCTAAAGAGTGAACCCCCAAAATATGACCCCCTTTTCCCCAGGGTGGCTCAACCTCAGCACTGTTACATTTTGGGCTTCCTTGTTTGAGGAAGTGGAGCTATATTCTAAGTGGGACATTTAGCAGCATCCCTAGGCTCCCCCACTTGATATCAGCAGAACATGTCCCTCACTTGGCTGAAACCCAAAACTGTCCCCAGACATCCTATGCAAGGACACGTTCACCCCCAGCTGAGACCCACTCTCATTCCAAGGCCAAGAGTAGGAAATTATGATACTGTTACAGCCAACAGGAAGGGGCCTTCAGCAACAAGGAGGGGTGGCTGCAGCTTAGGAGTCCAGCTCAGTAAATTAAAAAAAAGAGATGGTAACAGGCAACAGTCATGCACCCCTGTTATCCCAGTACTCCAGGAAGTTGAGACAGGAAGTTCACATGTTTGAGCCCAGCCTGAGCACCTTCGTGATTGAGCGAGACCCTATCTCAAAATTTAAAGATGGGGATGTAGGTCAATCCCCAAGACTGCTGAGAGGGGGCGGGGGAGAGGGAGAGAACATTGGCATTGACCTCGTAGGTTACTGGTGACCTTGAAGAGGGCGATCAGATTGAAGTGGAGGGAGCAAGAGACTGATAGGAGACAGTGGAGAAGAGAGAAGGGGACGCCACAGCGTGTGCCAGCAGATCCTTCGAGCACTCTCCATGGAGGAGCAGGGCTAAAGGCCAGGGCACTGTCGAGTTGCTGTATGATGGGAACTGTCGGAGCTCTCTGAGCACTTGGGGATACTCCACTGAGGAGGGGGTGGACATGGGCTGGGGCTGAAGGAGGAGAAAGAGCGAGAGCTCCAGACTCGGAAGGGATGGAAAGGCCTCCTCCATTGTCCTCAGAAGAAAGCTTGACACGCCAGTCGCTGTGTTCTGGTCACTGTCCCTCTATTTTGAAATGCTTAGAGAGGAGGAGGTGATAGACCACGGCAGGGGAAGTCCTGGGATTCTGTCAAAGACACCCTAGACTGGCCATCCAGCCTGCACCCTCATTCTCTGCAGGACACCAGGATTTCCATGAACTCAGTCACTTGCTGCTTTTTCCTTTTTAGGGTCTTCTTCAAGATCAAAAGCCGAAATGCACACATGAAAACTCACAGGCAGCAGGAGGAGCAGCAGAGGCAGAAGGCTCAGAAGGCAGCTTTCGCAGTAGAAATGGCAGCCACGATCGAGAGGACTACGGAGCCAGTGGGGGCACCAAGGCTGCTGCCCCTGGGCCAGCTAAGCTTGATCAAACCCATCAAAGACATGGACATCCTCGATGATGATGTGGTCCAGCAATTAGGAGGCGTCATTGAAGAGGCCGAGGTCGTGGACACCGATCTGCTCTTGGATGACCAAGACTCAGTTTTGCTTCATGGTGACACGGAACTCTAAAGCCCTGTTTGTCGGTTCCGGACAGTGAGAACCCACGGCCTCCCTCCTCATGAATCAGGAAACCTGGACTGCCCTCTTGTTTTGTAAACCCTTTCAAACTACCTGTTTAAAAAGTGGTCGTTTTATTCAGGTTTAGAAAAAAAATCCAGTTTCTTCTCCTTTTATTTTTATAATTGTTTCTGTTGGGGGTTGGGGGAATAAATAATTGGCACAACTATCTTTAAGAGGTGTTTCATCTGGGCTACACCCTCATGACCTCATTCCCCATGGGGAATGAACCTGACATTCATGTTCTGTTGCTCTTAGGTGTCAACCATTCTGGTAGCCTTCTGTTGCAAAGCTTGCTGGGAGAGTGTGTGCATGTATGTACGTGTGTATACATGAGGCAGGTGGCCCTCTTCGTGCTGGGGCTCTGGATCATCTTTTCTACCTGGAGTTATTTTTATTCTATTCTGACCCACCAGGAAGTGTTCTTTTCCCCAACAAAATAGCTCAGAAGAGCCTGTTTTTTTGTTTGTGGTCAGTGGAGGTTTGAAATTACTTTGTACCACTTGGACGTCCTGTGAAACTGCCTTCACTGGGATTTTGCTATCGTTCACACCTGGACTAAAGCTTATCTAGAGGCTAGCTACAAAGAATGAGTTTTCTAGGACATAAATAAGGACAGCAAATACAAGGGAAATTGCATTGAAGGCCAACAGAAACGGTTTCAGATACACCTTAGCTACCATTTTGCATTCAAACCTGAATGTATTCTCTCCAAGTCACTTACCAAAGCATTTCTAGATTTCGCTAAGCTGCTAAGCTACATGACTTTGCTCTGCCACCTCCTGCCCCTGGCAGCAGGGCTGCTATTGGTACTCGAAGGCAATAAACCTGTAACCCTTCAAAAATGTCATTGCCCAGACTTTTGAACTGAGTCGGACTGACCCAGCCCACTGTTGGCAAAAGTCAGCCTGGGGCGCAGCCCCTCACAGAGAGGGGCTGCTCTTCTCAGCTCCCTGTCGGTGTTAATGCTTCATGGCCCCTGCTCCCAGGACCCCTTCTTAGGTAGACCCATCCCCCAGCACCGTGGCAGTGCCACTGTCTTGCTGGGCCTCTGGCTGGCACATTGACAGCCTGACAGTGGAGAGGCCATCAGCAGAGGCAAGGGTAGGCCTGGGCATCCTTTGAATTCAGCTCTGCAGGAGCATTTAGCACACACCCATGGGGCCAGCTGCAGTCAAACGCAGCCCCCGGGCAGTGGTTTCTGAATCTCAAGAAAGCCACAGACAAAAGAAAATAGATTCACTCTGTTTCCATTGTTTTGTTTTCAAAGAAGTTGTTTTGGAGATTTCCTTCATCTTTCCTTTAGAAAAAAAAAAGTTTGCTACCGTTTCAACAGGTTGTTCTATCTTTGTGTTTTACCGAGGCAGTTTTGAGTTACGGAGTACCCAAGCATTGTGCACTGGCTTCTGGCAGAGCTATTATAGAACCCTTCCAGCTGCCAGTTCAACAGCTGGTGAAGAAGTAGCCTCTTCCCACTGGTATCTGAGGATGAGTCCAGAATGGTTCCGCAGTTGAGTCTAGCAAAGCTTGTCTGGAAAAGGAGCCAATGCCCAGAAAAATGCTTAGAAAGCACATTTCCTCTTGTTTGGAGATTTGCCAGTTCTTCCAGTGTTAAGCATTAGAGATGAGTTGTCACAGCAAAAAAAAAAAAAAAAGATGCACAGTTTGATTTTAATTTTCCATGCAGTATAGTGTATGGATCTCTGACTTGAAATAACCAAAGAACTCCTCCTTAATGGGACAGTTCGAATACCTGAATTAGTATTTCTCCATTATCAACTTAAAAAATTGACTTCCTATAAAATTTTGCACTTGTTTTTTCCTGAAATGATTCTGCCTGCATGTATGTGCTGTGTCTCAAATCTCCCTCCGCAGCCCACCCCAAAGAACTTTCCTCCCTGATTGTTCATGTCTTCAACATGGTTACTGTTTACGATCAGATGGTTTTTCATTCGTGCATTTAGACCTCTTCGAGAAAGCTTGTATATAAAAAAGTTAACAGATATATTTTATGGAAAAACCCATCTTATTTTCAAATATATTTAACTGCTGTTATATTTTATTAGAGGAAGGTTGTAAATATTTTCTAGGAGTTCTATTGTAAAGAAAAGTATTTTTGAAAAAAATTAATGTAATAAAAAGGAAAACATTTTTAAATAGCGGTTGTGATTGCTTCCTGTTCTGGCTTCATTATGTTCTATTCTCAGCAAATGACTCGCATGCCTTCCATATTGGGATGTAATTTATTCAGGTTTGCACTATTATGTAAGTTGACATCATAATATCTAGTATGCTTAACTGTACTTTCCTGGAATGCAGTTCCCTTGGTCCATATCAAAGCACTATGTATAGCATATTCATAATTTTTCTTTTGTAATGTGTGTATTTTTAATAAGGATTTTATGTAACATTTTGGCCAAAAAAAAAAAAGAGGACAGTATTTTCTAGTGAATTTTATAACATTTTGCTAAAAATGTTTCTTCCTAGGTCAGTTTTTGTTAAGGTGAACCAAAAGTCTTATTTTACCAGGGGTTTGAAAAAAGTTTGAGGCTTGAAAGCAAAGTTATATTTAAACATCATATGTAACAAATAAATAAAGATGTTTTATAGACTTGTCCTAAAAAGGTGCATTCCTTAAAAAAAAAAAGAAAGAAAGAAAGAAAGAAAAGAAAAGAAACTGGGGCATTCTAGATTGTTTTCCCATTCTGAGTGTTAAGGATTTTAAAAAATTACCACAATACTTTTTCAGGAAGAAAACCAGGAGAATTTTAGTGAGGTTCCAGTCATTCGCCTCCTCAGAAATTTATTACAGTTCCTACAGATGGGCATTCATCAGATAGAAATGTAACCAAATATACACTGTCATATTTATTTGTGAAAACCTGATTCAATATTGCATCAGCTGCTCTGAAAATAAAATATCTTTTTTTGAGTTTCTCTTGGCTTAAATATTCCTTATTTCTAGCCCCTGAAATGACATCTTGATGCTAGATCAAGGCGAATTTGCCTGGTATTGGTTCCTGTACACAACAGGCTTGGAGGTTCGCCACTGCTCAGATTTAATTCTCCTTAAATTGCCCCCGACACGCACCTTGGAAGCCAGGACCGCTGCTGCCCCTCATATGGAGGCTGTGCTGTCTGGGAGAAAACATGGCATTCGCAGCCAGGCCTCTCACACTCTGCCTCACCCACTGGCGTCTGACAGGAAGTCCTCTATCTCTATGAAGTTCGTGTCCACCCTGGTGTAGGTGCATTGTCAGTCTGAATTTCCAAATTTTCATGTGTGTTACTTTTTTAAAAGTTTATTGATAAGAAACTAGATGCTTTCCCTCTAAGGTTAGGAATAAGGCAAGGGTGTCTTCTTTTTTTTTTTTTGGTGCTGAGGATCGAACTAGGGTCCTTGAGCTTGCGCAGCAGACGGCGAAATCACTGAGTTAAATCCCCGGCCCCCATGTGTGTTACTTTTTAACGGTCAACAGCAAACTCTAATAAAAGAAATTTGAAATTTTAGAATCTGCCCTAAGCAGGGCACTCCTGTGCAAGACCTTGATCTCCTAGTTCTGTTAGTTTAACTTTTTATTTTTAGCCATCTATTTTAATTTTTTGTTTGTTTGTTTTGGGGGGAGGTGTTTGTTTTTTGTTTTTGGTACTGGGGATCGAACTTGGGACCTTGTGCTTGTGAGGGAGGTGCCAGAACCACTGAGCTAACTCCCCAGCTGTGTAGTTCAGGCTGGCCTTGAACTCACTATGTAGCCCAGGGTGCAATCTTGCTGCCTTGGCCTCCCTAGTGCTGGGATTACAGGTGTGTGCCACCATGCCTGGCTAGCCATCTATTTTAGATGGTCCTAAATCAAATAAAATCAGGATTCTTTTAGAAACGGTGTAGATTTAGCCAGTGTTGTAAGCTGCAAGTCTATTTCCAGGGGCCCAGGTGTCTAAAGACTTTCCCCTACCATTAGTCAGTCAGTAGTCTGTCCTTGTCGGAGAGGGTGGGTACCTCCACTCCCCTCAACCAAGACACTTAAATAGAACAGGTCCTCAGAGAACCAGGACCAGCCCCTCGCAGGGGTGAAAGGCGTTGAGTAGGATTTTGAAAATGGCCATTGGCTCAGCTGTAACCAACTCACTGTATCACCTTGAGAGAGCTATTTCATCCCTGGGCCTTGGTTTCCTTACCTAGAAAATTGAGATAAAATTTCATGTCTTCCGTGTAAGTGGAAGTGGTTTGCAGGCTGTGATGACTGTTATATAGGTGCAGGGCACTCAACTCTGCCCGGATGGTACTCGGGCAGAGAGGCTGAGGAGCCATCCCGGAAGCGCCATTCGGAAAGACGGAAGCAGCAATGAGGAGTTGGAGTTCGGTGGGGAAGGGCGAGCTGTTGGGGAAACCCATTGGCTGAGAGAGGTCACCTTGACTGCCACAATTTAGAGAGAGCTTCATTCTGAGGAGAGCCCACCTGCCAGGGTGGGCACGGCCATGTCCAGCAAAGTGCACGCAGGTAAAGGTGCTGTTCCCACGCTGGTGTAGGACACGCCGCGTATCTCTGCCACGTCCCCGCAGGGGCTGCAGCCTAGCGCAGAGAGGCCAAGCCGGGGCCAGGGACATGGACTTCTGCTCTGACATCTTTCCCATTGGGAATATGTGATGTTTAGCAAATCATCCCACCCCCTTCTTGGTTCTCTTCTCTGCAAAATAGCGTAGCATTTGTGGGGAGGAAAAGTAACTTCAGTCGAAACTTTATTTATAGCTACAAAGCTTTCCCATAAACCACTTGATCTTTTTCCCTACAACCTTGTGAACCAGATGAGGTAGAAGCAGCATGTTAAAAAAAAAAAAAAAAAAGGAGCATTTTACAAATAGTGAATGACACTTATCCTGTATTTATGTGTCTGGTATGGTACTAAATAATACCATAAAGCAGGATCTCATTTAATCCTCACAGCAACTACTAGAAGTAGGACCTATTATTATTGTTTCTATCTGATATGAAAACTGAGGCTGGGCATAGGTGCACACCTGTAATTCCAGCACCCTTGGCAGCTGAGGCAGGAGGATTAAAAGATTGAGCCCAGCCTGGGCAATTTAGTGATTTAAGGAGACCCTGTCACAAAATAAAAATAATAAAAATTAAGAGCTTTAGCTCAGTGTGAAGGCCCTACGTTCAATCCCAAATATTGAAAAAAAGAAAAAAAGAAAAGCTGAGACTCGGGGTGGAGTCCAGTTATAAGCCTTTTCACTTGGAATTAAACTACGGTGAACAAAAGCAACTAGACAAAATACTTTGGGGTTGTCATAGTAGGTGAAGGTATTCTAGACAGCTAAGTTAGGTAAAAACACTATGGGCAACCAGACAGGGCTAGGCTCCTGAGAGAGTCAATACAAAAGATAAAAACACATTACAACTGTGGCTGGACACAGAGAGCATCTGTTGGAGGCAGGCCTCAAGACAAAGGTGAAATGACCAGGCCTACATACCTCCCAAACAGATAAGATAAGTGGTAACACCTGGCCCAATAAAGTCTAGATAGACATCAGTCACCCCATTGGGTGACCAAGACTTCCAGGTCCAGCCCTTCCTAAAAAAGTTCTTTGTTCTTTCCATGTGCATTTGCTATGTGACTTGCTTTCCCATTAGACCGATGTTACCTAAGTGGCTATATTTATAATCTTACTAGTTGATCATAATTTTGTCCCACATTATACCCACCTTGTGATTTTGCTCTATAAAACTTGCTCTGTGAAGTGGGGCCCCCAACAACCCATTCAGGCCCTCTCCTATCTCTCTCAGGAGCTAAAATCTCTCCCTCTCAATAAATATTTCCTACTCTTAACTTCCATTGTTCCTTAAAATTCTTTCTTCAATTTTGGGGAACAGGAACTCGGCGTATCTGACACCTAACAGGTTGAAAGTTATATTATTTCCCCTATATCATTTAGAGGTTCTAGATCAAAGGCAGTTATTGTAGAATGTCAAATACTGGGGTAACACAAGGAAATGAACTGTGTAAGATCAGTAGCACAGTGTTATACAAGTTAGCTGGAATGCTGACATGGTGGAATATGCCTGTATCAGCACTCTGGACGTTGAGGCAGGAGGATTGCTGTGAGTTCAGGGCCAGTGAGACCCTGCCTCAAAAAACCAAAAAAAAAAAAAGTTACAGTCAACTAATAAGATTACAAATATAGTTGCTTAGGTTATATTGATCCAGTGGAAAATCACAAAGTGGGTATGAAGTGGGACAAAACTATGGTTAACCAATAAGATTACATGTGTAATCACTTAGGTAATATTGATTAAATGGGGGTCAAATGGAGAAGCAAGTCATCTATCGAGGGAGCATACATGAAATGAATCAGTATTTTCCGGGAAGGAATGGGCTAGGGAAGTTTTGGTCCCTCACCCAAGGTGATTGATGCCTATTTGGAATATCAATCACTCGTTCATTCCTAGGGGAAGTATGTAGGTATAGTCAGTTCTCTAGAAGTCTCTCCTTCAACAAATGCGCTCCAGCCACAGTTGAGATATGTTCTTATCTTCTGCACTGACTCTCTCCAAGGCCCATCCCTGTCTGCCTATAATATTTCTTTTTCTTTTTCTTTTTCTTTTTGTTACCGGGGATCAACTCGGGTCCTTGCGCTTGCCAGGCAGGCGCTGGAACCACTGAGCTAAATCCCCGGCCTGCCTATAATATTTCTAATTTAGCTGTCTATAATACAAGGACTCCAGTCAGTTGGGGAAGGAAAGTAAGCTTAACTCCGCTAGAACATGACTGAGATAAGGTGAAGAGCTAAGATTTTATTAGTGGGAGATTTTTTCCCCACGCATGTGTTTTATTAACAAACAAAACCATATATGACTTTGTGGCTATAAAGCATTATTTTTGTAGGAGAAAACAGGTGGGCTGAAGCGATATTAAATATCCGCTGAAGCGATTTTACCCAGAGTAGCAACCGACCACTCCCACAAAAAGCAAGGCATCACATCTCTATGGCTGTTCCTGGGCCGGAAAACAAGGATACACTCTCTCTTTTGTCGAACTCTATGGTCTTACGAAAGCACCTTAACCCGGAAGCGATGCTGGGAAGTGGGGAGGCAGGATGGCGGCGCGGGCAGCGCTTGAGGCTGTGAGGGGGAGCCTCTGGCAGGTAAGGACGGAGGGGCATAGTTGTGACTGAATCTCGTGCCACCACTGTTGTGCCCATCAGGAGCCTTCCCGATATTTACTGCTCGGTTTTATCTCCAATTCTCTTTGAATTAAACAGGAGAATGAACAAGTTGGGGCGAAGGCGGGAATAAGAATTGATGTCAGAGCTGGGAAGGATAGTGAGCACCATCTGTTAACATCGTACATTCCCAAACCCCTCCTTTCACGTTTGCAAAGCAAAAGCAAAAACCCTGAGGCTCAGAGAACTGGAATTCGTGAAAGTCAGAGGCTGAACTGTCCCCAGATGTCAGGCTCTTCCCATAGAACGGACTCGGGGAGATGAAACTGTTGCGGGAAATATGAAATATGAAATATTACATCTCAACCTGTTAAGTGTATGATATGCCGAGTTTTTGTTTTCTAGAAATCAAGAATGAGACCTAGGATCGACGGTGATTAAGAGTAGGAAGATATTTATTGATAGGAAAGCTCCTGAGGGGAGGAGGGGTCCCAAGTGGTAGCCCAAGGACCCCATTTTACAGAGAAGTTTTATAGGATGAAACCCACATGGGTACAACGTGGGCCAGAGCCATGAACATCCAGTGAGGTTACAAGCATAGTCACTTAGGTAATGGTGGTCTAATTGGGAAGCAAGTCACGTACCAAGCGTGGATGGAAAGAACAAGGATTTTCTTAGGAGGCGGTGGGTCCAGAGGTCTCTGGTCACCCCCACGGTGGTCAGTGCCCATCTATACTTTACTAAGCCCAGTTTTTTGAAGAGGTATGTGGGTCTGGTCATCTTGTCTTTTATCTTGAGGCCTGGTTTTCAGCCCATGTGCAGCTGTGGTGTGTTTTACCTTTGCCCTGGCCCTCTCGAGGACTTACCCTATCTGCCTATAATATTGTTACCTAGCTCATCTATCTATAATAAAACAAGGGACTTATGTTTAGTTTTCTGTAAAATAAAACTGAGAATCATAAAAATACTCGCTTAAAGCTGGGCGTGAGCTGGGCTTGGTGGTGCACGCCTGTAATCCTTGCACTGGAGAGACTGAGGCAGGAGGATCCCCGTGAATTTGAGGCCAGCCTGAGCTATATAGACCCTGACTCAAAACGAAACAAACAAGCACTAATAAATTTGTTACATGGTCACATGATTACCATTTTATGGAAAATAACTACATTTTTTTTTTTTTGGTACGGTGGATTGAACTCAGGTCCTTCTGGTTGTGAGGCAGGTGGCAGAACCACTGAGCTAAATCCCTGGCCCAGTAACTACATTTTTTTAAAAAGGTAATTTAGCAAGGAGTGACAATGTTTTCCACTTTTGCAAATGTCTTTAATATCTGGCTTAATACAAGACAGCAGGATTCTCATTTCTGTTTCCACTTTCAGTCTTTAGCTATATCACATCTTTTGTGGCTGAGGGAGAACTTTACACTGGAGAAAGAATAAGAGTGGGCCAGGGATTTAGCTCAGTGGTTCCCCCACCTGCCTTGCAAGCACAAGGTCCCGAGTTCCATCCCTAGTACCCTCCCAAAGAAGAGTGGAAAGGTTTCACTTAACAGTGTTACTATGAAAAATATTTTTTTCCCTCAACCCCTAAAAGTGTCTCGAAGACCCCCCAATGATCCCATACCACACATTGAGAACCACTGTTCTTAAGGAAAACCAAATGAAGTTGAAATTTTTAAACAAACTAAACAAAACATCTAAACAAACCTTGCACTCATATACACACACGCACACCCTTAAAAAGTTGAAAAAAGAAATTTTAAGAATTTCTTAAGGTTAACTTGTGGATGTAATAACACTTTAGACATCTATTAAAATCACAGATCTGTAGAGGGAGAATAGGACCGGTAGGTGTCATATTCCTTAAGACTTGTGCTCCCTCCCCAGCAGCTGGATCGTGGGGTCACTGGCATAGATGTGGGGGGAGTTTTCAGTGTGAAGAACAACACATACCTCATGCTACCTTGTATTGTGCCTGATTTCCTTCTTTTGTTTAATTCATCAAAAGCCAAGTCAGAATATGAAATTTTTTTTGTCTCCAACAGGGGTAAAAAAGGGAAGAAAACAGTAAACTAAGAATAGGCTTGAAACATTTTGGTGACCAACAGTTACTTTAAATAAGCTTCACTTGTGCTAACATGTTACTTTCGTCTTCATTGTATCTTTAAGGATTCTATTTTACTTTGACTTTCTCAGGTTATGCTTTTAAGTCTAAGGAAAGCTTAAGAGAAAAACAGGTTGATAACAAACTACATATATGGTATATACAATAGTACCTTTTAACTTTCCCCAAACAAGGAAGTTTTGTCCCACCAGGGGGCGCTCAGGAAAAGGGATTGGATTGCTGCTGCAGGTGGCATGAACCACCATGGGTGTAGTTCCAGTCTGTGCTATATTTTAGTTAATTTACAAGCCAGTTAGCCAAGCCAAGTAGTACATATACTTGAAAAGATGTATGAAAGCTTCAGAAGAAGTGTGCTTATCCCTCTTCTTAGTAAATTAAGTTGTAAAGATGCGTAATAGTTTTTATTGCTTAAAAAATTATCAGGCAGGGGCCGGGGATTTAGCTCAGTGGTTTCGCTGCCTGCTGTACAAGCACAAGGACCTGAGTTCAATCCCTGGTACAAAAAAAAAAAAAAAATTATCAGGCAAAGTAGCCAGATGAGGTGGGTACAATCCCAGCACTCTGGGAGGATGAGGCAGGAGGATCACTACTCGGAACCCAGCCTGGGAAACTCAGTGACTTAGCCAGACCCTGTCTCAGAATTTTAAAATAAATAAACAAATAAGAAAAGCTCAGTGGGAAAGTCCTGTGTTCAATCCTCAGTGGGGGGGGGGGTGGAGTTTGGAAATGTTGGAATACAACAGTTATGTTGAAATACAATTGACCTGTAAAAAGTCACAAACATTTTTTTCCTTAATGTTCACATATTTAGTTTTTAGCTTTTTATGAGAATTGAGATTCCCTGGTATTTTGGGAGTGGTTTTTATTCTCAAGTTTATTATAATTTTAAGGAAATCTGGTTTGACCCTTTTAGTTGCCCCAGTGTCTTCATCTGGAAGAATGAAATAGTCGTCATTTGAGGCATTGTGCATTTTTGGATTTTCAGTGGAAACCATGAGTGGTTTTGGAATTGACTTTAATTCTGACCTGTGTCCCCCCTCTTTCAAGGGCTTGAGGAATCTGTCTGTACCCAGCTCTAAGAACGGTGCGACCAAGAGCAGTGGCTTTCTCCTGTAAGTATCCACGTGGCCGTGCTGAACTGAAACTCAGATGGGCACTTATGCCATTTTGCTCAGGTGTCTTCTTTTCCTACACACAGCAGTACCAACATGAGGTGGGTCCAGTTTTCAAGCCTACACATCAATGTTCCAAAGGATTTGGCCAAACCGACGGTATGTGGTCCTTATTTCTTGGCAGAAATGAAATAACTTTTCATTATTATTTCACATGGACTTGTTACCCAACACTTGAAGATAATATTTTTCTGGGCAGCTGGCACATGCACACTGTGCATTTTCTCCAGTGTCCATGTGCTCAGGTGTTGTCCTTTGGGGCATCCAGCTGAGTTCTAAAGGACAAATTACCCCAAGTGCTACATAATAACCAGTCTCCTGCGTTTACCTCAGCATAACTGAGAAATTTTAATAATTAATGATGCAGAATGCTTGATGTTATATTCTGGAAAAATATTTTTCTTGTAGTCTTCATGTGTTTGTTTTCATTTTAAGTTTTGAGCCTGGGCCTGGACATTGCTTCCTTGTCACAGTGAGAAAGGGCATTAGCCCGAATACTGGGAGTCCACGGGTGGCTGTGTAACCACAGAAGCACTGATTCCATCAGCCTGAATCCTTCTGTTTCCACCCTTCAGAAATAACCCCTTAACTGTTAGGTATGAACCCATCTAGACCTTTGTCCATTGTGTGCACAATGAAATGGAACAGTGGTACACACAGTGCGCACTGCTGCTTTTTCTTTCTTTCTTAATAGATCTGGATGTGTTTCCATGAGGTTCGTATAAACCCTAGCCCCTGCCTCAGATGCCTGCAAGGGCCGTCCCAAGAAGAGGTGGCAGGACAGCCACAATAACCACTGCCTTTTGACTGTCTACAGTAGCCACTCATGACCCTGGGAGACCATATAAGGGTACTCAGAACATAACTCAGTGGTAGAGCTCTTGCTTTGCATGTGTAAAGCCCTGGGTTCTGTCCCTAGCACTGTGAAAAATAAAAATAGGGCTAGGGATTTAGCTCAGTGGTTCCAGCGCCTGCCTCGCAAGTACAAGGTCCCAAGTTCGATCCCCGGTACAAAAGAAAAAAAAAAGCCAGGATTGGTCACATACACCTGTATTCCCAGCACTCATGAGGCTGAGGCAGGAGGATCACTCCAGTTTGAGGCCAGCCTGGGCTACATAGTGAGTTCAGAGCCAACCTAAACTATATAACAAGACTCTGTCTCAAAAAACCCCAAATTGGGCCGGGAACTTAGCTCAGAGGTGCTGTTACCTGCCTTGCAAGCTCAGGGTCCTGAGTTCGATCCCTGGTACCGCAAAAAACCCCCACAAAAATAACCCCAAATAAATAGATAAATAAAATTAAATACATAATTAAAATTAAGAAATGTCCTGGCGGGATCAATCAGAACACATCTTCGGGTTCCTTTTGGCGTAGGCTATTAGTACATTCTGTTTTCCCAACAACCATACTTAGAGTAATTGAGAATAGATGCCCAGCTTCCTGGTAAGTAGATCTCTTTTCAGGGTGAAGTAATTTAACCCTGAATCATTGGATTAGTAATGTAATTTGCAAGTTTAATGAGTGAAAGAAATGAAGGTAATTTGCCTCTTGGACGAAAATCAAAAATATCAGACCCATTATTTCTGCGTCTTTAGATGTTAGGGTGGAAGATGGAAGTTACAAGTACAGTCATTGTCATAACATTTTCATGAGACATGAGTCATTTGTGTATTAAGGCTGCAAAACACAGATAAAACCTAACAAAAAGATGGCATACTTTGTATAACAATGTTTAACAGTTTATAAGTACTTTAATGTGTTCCCTTACAGACATTTTGGGACCCATAGTGCAGGCACTTTTACCCGCCTCTGCATACGAGGACCTCGGGCAGCAAGCATCTATGCCCATTGTCCTCTGGCCATGAGTGGAGAGGTGAATTCGCATCCGGGTCTTCTGACCAGGCTGCCTTCGCTAGCTGCCCCTGAAGTCCTTCACTGTCAGTCTGGGGTCAACACTTACTAAGTTGAGAGGTTCCACTGATGACTTTGTAGGTTGCCTTGAAAGTCCATTGGCTCCACACTGGATTCTCAGAGACTCTGAGGGTCATTTGCACCTCCACCTGTGATTGATAGGACGTAGGTAACGAGGCTAACAGGGCTGAGATCCTACTCAGCATTTTGCTCTGCATTTATTAGTAAACTCTGAAATTCTTCAGTTAAGGTTAATAAGCTAAATTTCCTAGTTACAAATATTAAAAGAATCACAACTGGAACTTTTCTTTTTTATTTTAGATAACCGTTTCTGATGAAGCAGACACATTATACAAACGGCTGTCAATTTTAGTAAAGGCCCATGATAAGGCTGTACTGGACAGTTACGAATACTTTGCTGTGCTTGCTGCTAAAGAACTCGGTATATCTATTAAAGTGTAAGTCTTGCTTTCCCCAACCTGACCCATTAACTGCTCTAATGTGATCAACCAGGGAACTGGTGACCATCCCGGCTAGGTCTGAGCTGATAAAATGGAGTGGAAGTCACAATGAGCAGAGCTGAGCAGAGCCCCGTTGCATCGTAGGTTATTCTATGAAGGCTCGGCCCCACCTGCCATCGGGATTGATTAAACACTAGAAGAGCAAGTGAGAAAGATGAGGGGAATCCTGTCTGGGAACCGCATTGCCCTGACTCTTCAGGAAGCCACCTTCTGGGTCTCCTTGAGGCAGGGCGGCTGTAGGGGCACAGACACCCCAGACCCCTCGGCTGTGATAGTCTGGCTGATACACCTGATGTTTTCCAAAATAGAATGTAGTTCTGTGGTTGTCAACCTGTAAGTTTTCCTAAAACAACACATACATAGCAGACATTACAGCTGTGTACTGTGCACTGTTGCTGCTCTTCATACTTCATGTATTTGGGCAATAAGGAACTCAAAGGGTGTAAAAGCAGCAGGTGTGTGTGTGAGTGTGTGTGTCTGTGTGCTGCCTTACATGCCAGTGCTTGTTTTGGGGTCTGGGAGGAGGCTCCTGTTGCTGTCTTGGTGTTTATTTTGGCCTGAGCAGCGTGATAGCAGTTGTTGTTACAGATGACAGTCTTGACTCATGGAAGACATTAAATTGATGACTGCAGTTTGTGAGCCTGGCATACCAAACTGTCAAATTGTCCTTTGATATCAGTGACTCAGGTCTTAACAGCAGGCAAATTAAATTTGTTGCTTGTCCATTGGTTTCAGACACGAGCCACCAAGGAAAATCGAGCGATTTACCCTTCTCAAGTCTGTGCATATTTTCAAGAAACACAGAGTACAGTATGAAATGAGAACGCTTTATAGATGTTTGGAGGTGGGTTTGTGACAGCTGCTTGAACACATTTGAAACACAGGTTCCAGAAGAGCACACATCATGACTTTGCTTTAAGATTGACTCAGTTGACTTTGTCATCAGCCCATGCATGTCTTTTTGTGTTTGTGGAAGCTTCATGATAGGAAAGCAAACTAAGGGCTGGGGATTTAGCTCAGTGGTTTCGCTGCCTGCTGCACAAGCTCAAGGACCTGAGTTCAATCCCTGGTACCAAAAAAAAAAAAAAAAAGGAAAGAAACCTAAATACCATCTTTAGAGTGTGCCTACTTCTAGAAATCCAAAACAAATTAGTTAAATTCTTTTGCAGTTCTAGGTTTCCACTGTCATGTGTTATCGTTCATTCATGAGTCCATGAGGGTCAGGAGAACAGGACTTGGATTAAATGAGATACTCATGTAAAGCATGTGTATGCGACCACTCCTGGCAACCTACTTTTTTTTTTTTCGAGACAGGGTCTTGCTATGTAGACCAGGCTGGCCTCGAACTTGAGGTGATCCTCCTGCCTCAGCCTCTCGAATGCTGGGATTACAGGTGTTCACCATCATGCCCAGCTTTGGCAACCTACTTTTTAAAAATTTTTAAATAAATTTTATTTTATTTTATCTCTCCCCTCCCTATGTACAAAAGCTTTGTTTCCATTTTTCCCTTCTATTTTCACTTTTTTTCTTGTCCCTTCTTTCCTTTCTCCCTCCCTCCTCCCTGTTCCCCTTCCCATTTGAACACTTTCTTCCCATTTCCCAGCATCTGTTATACATTTCAGACCTTATTTCCACTTTCAGTTTCTCACACCAGAAAAACAATGCAGTATTTAAACACGTGTGTCTGATTTATTTCACTTAAGAGTATGGTCTCAAGATCCATCCATTTAATATAAGTGTCTGAAGCTCATCCTTCTTTGTGGCACAGTAGTACTCCATTGTATAAAAAAACCACATCGTCTTCATCCACTCATCAGTTGATGGGCATTTGGGCTGTTTCCAAGGTTTAGCTATTACAAACTGTGCTGCTGTAAACATGGGTGTGCATGTATCACTGTGGTATGATGCTTTTAATTCTTCTGGGAAGTTACCAAGAAGAGGTATGACTGGGTCAAATGGAACCTCTAGTTTTAGTGCTTTGAGGACTCTCCATGCTGATTTCCAGTGGTCTGGCAACCTACTTTTAAGGGAAAAAGAACACCCCAAAATTTCATCCGCCCATGTCAGTCAGTCATCTTGCCATGAAACATACCAAAAATCTTAAACTAACTTTCCTTAAAATCTAGCCTCCTTTTTCCTTTTGTCTTGGGTCACTTTGAAACTTCCACCTCCGGCTGTGGTACTGTACTTGCTCCCCATGTTGCACCCTGCAGCCCCAGCTCTCGGGCAGCAGCGTCTGGGAAGGCACATTGAGGTCCCGTTCTCATCTGGTCCAGCCAGTGGCTCTGATCATGTTAAGATCTTTTGTGAGGGCTGGAGATTTAGCTCGGTGGTTCCACTGCCTTTCTTTGAAGCGCAGGGTCCTGAGTTCATCCCTGGTACCAAAAAAAAAAAGATCTTGTGTGAGATTACTTAGGGGAAGAACAGGCTCCACCACTTTCCCCAAGAAACAAAAACCTTAAAGATTTCTGCTTTAAGCCAGGCACAGTGGTGCTTGCCTATAATCTCAGCTGCTTTGCAGGCTGAGTCAGGAGGACTCTGAATTCAAGGGCACCCTGTGCAACCTAATGAGATCCTATCTCAAAATCAGATAGGAAGGGCTGGGGTGTGGCTCAGTGGTGGAATGCTTGCCTGACATGTAGGAGGCCCTGGGCTCAATCTCAGTACCAAACAAAAATAAGAGTTTTCTGCTTAACAAGCATAACGTGACCCATTTTCGTGTCTGGGGTTTCAGTTAGAACACCTCACTGGATGCACGGCAGATGTCTACTTGGAATACATTCAGCGAAACTTACCCGAAGGAGTTGCCATGGAAGTAACCAAGGTATGGCTTGAGTCTCACCTCCTGGGGGTCCACACTGTCCTCGTGTGTTGCAGCACCATCCTGGGTCCCTTGACAGGAGGACCCAGAGCTGCCGGGAGTGGAGTTGTCACCATGGTCACAGGCTGTCCCTTGCTTCCTCCCTTCTGTAAAAAGTGAAGAGGAGTGGACAAGTGACTGAGCCCAGTTCACAGTCAGAGCTTGTGTAAGTCTATTGTATTATAGTTTTGTTTCTTTTTTTAGACACAATTAAAACAATTACCGGAACACATCAAGGAGCCAATCTGGAATACAGTAGCTGAGGAGAAAGAAGCGAGCAAGTCCTAAGGCTGCAGCCACCTGGGTCCTGTAGGGAGAGGTGTGCAGGCCGAGGCTGTGTTCACACGGGAGAGGATGTGAGTGCACCCTGCTCCTCCGTGGAGTCTGCTGGCCCTGATCAACTGAAGGCTGAACGTGGCGCTTGCGTGACAGATGGAACTGTACCAAGAGGACCGTGCTGTCTGTTCCTGTCTCTGTCCGTGTCAGTGTTTCTGTTGTGACTTTGAACAAACATGAGCAAACCATTTAAATACTCAAGCCAAAAGAGTTGAATTTATAGCCTGTCCCACTGTTGTTCAATTATTAGTTTGTAGGGCCGGGGATTTAGCTCAGTGGCGCCACGCCTTCCTGGCAAGCACAATGTGCTGAATTCGATCCCTGGTACCAAAGAAAAAGACAGGCAATTATTAGTTTGTAGTGATTTGATTTTTATTTATTCTTTAGAAAATGAGAGTTTGGGGCCGGGGATTTAGCTCAGTGGTGCCGATGCCTGCCTCGAAAGCGCCAGGTCCTGAGTTCGATTCCCAGTACAAAAAAAAACACCAAGAAAATGAGAGTTTGAAGTATTTTTCAGCCTGTAATCCCAACACTCGGGAGGCTGAGGCAGGAGGATTGTTGCAAGTTTGAGGCCAGCCCGGGCTACACAGTGAGCTCAAGGATAGCCTGAACTACTGAGTGAGGCCCCTGACATTTTTTTCACTTCCTAGAAGGTAACCTCGTTCTTTAACCTGAGTAGCAAAGGCTTTGCTCTTGACCTCAGTGTGGCTGGCGGGTGCAGCCCTGGTAAGGCCTGGCCAGCCCCTGAGCTCAGCCTTCAGTGTCTGGGAAGTGCACACATTTCAATAGATGGCTCGTGTTTATGACACCCATGAGTGGCTCCAGGGTCACTACAGTGGGATATCTGCTCTTACAAAATTACTGCTGTCAGGTGCAGAGGCCCACGCCTGTAATCCCATCTACCCAGGAGGCTGAGGCAGAAGGATCACAAGTTGCAGGCCAGCCTGGACAACTTAGTGAGACCCTGTCTCAAAATTTAAAAATTAAAAGGGCTGAGCCAGGGATTTAGCTCAGTGGTTCCACCGCCTGCCTTGCAAGCGGAAGCATCTGAGTTCGATCCCCGGTACCAAAAATAAATAAATAAATAAAATAAAATAAAATAAAATTACCAATAAAATTAATTTTAAAAAAAAGTTAAAAGGGCTGAGGATGTAGTTCCATACCCCCCTCAACCCACAGTACAGAAAGGGGGGGGGGGAGGAAGACAGACATTAGTGCTGGCATCATTTCACTCATCCTCTGGCTCATGCATTCACCGAGCTGTTACCTGCTGAGCTTCGCACTGATCCCTGTACCTGAATAGACTGGGTGGCTTTTAAAGCTTGCAAGGCACAGGTCTCTTCCCTCGGGTTCCTTGCTGATCAGAAGGCAGTGCTTTGTTGGGAGATGTGGTCTGCTTTTCTGCGGGACTAAAGCCCTGAGAGAGGTGACTGGTGGCCGGGCAGCTGGTGTGGCAGCCCTGGGGGAGCACATGTTTCTTTTCCACAGCAGAATTGGGTCCGTGTCTTAGGTTTCCTTCCCCTCTTCAAACCTGTTGCGACTTCTCAATACCCCCCCACTCCAGCTGCATTGCCTGCCCGACTCTTGGGTACCAGGGTCTTGAATCTATGCTGCTCTTGTGTCACAATTACATTAGCATGAGGAGAACCACAGCCCTGTGCCCGGTGAGCCCCTCAGCTCCGGTGTTAACCGGGTCATTTACAGACACCCAAAGTGTGCTTATCCCAGGCATAAACTGATCCTCGGGATCAGGAGCCACTCAGGCAAACAAGCCACACAGTGGTGGCTGTGTCTAGCAAAGCAGCAATGCCTGACACAGTTTTAAAATAATTTTTAAAAATATGGAGAGAGGGATTTAGCTCAGTGTTTCCACTGCCTGCCTCGCAAGCGCAAGGTCCCGAGTTCGATCCCCAGTACCAAAAAAAAAAAAGAAAATATGGAGAGATCCACTTGGGGGTGGGGGAGCTTCTCTACAGACACTGTTAATCATGGGCTAGGCATTGTGGCCCAGGCCTGTAAACCCAGCTACCCAGGAGGCTGAGGTAGAAGGATCACAAGTCCCAGCCCAGCCTGGGTTACATCTAAGCTAAGTAAGTGACAGTGTTGTTAGGTTAGATGTGTGTGTCTGCTCTCCAGCGATTCTCATGAGCCCTGTCACATGCTGCCATTTTCAGACTAATTAACACAAACGAGGTCGCTTAGCCTAGCACTTCAAATTGTGTGTTAAAATCTTGTTTTAAGGTAAATGCACAAAACACGCACAGCAAAAACTGGCAATATCTCTTTGGCAAAACAACTTGGCATTTTGAAACCTCCTTCTTGATACGAACAAAGCTTTTCCTGAGAAGGGTTTTGGGTTTTTGTCTTAGGTCTCTGCATGTGGCAAAGATTAGAATTAACACCCAGATCTCGCTTTCTGTCCATGGTGCCGATGGGAGGTGACGAGAGGCCTGGATCTGGTGGCAGAATGAACAGAAGGCAGGGAGGAAACGGAGCGGTTTTTCATGAAGGTGTAGCTGCATTCATGCTGCTGTCTTGCATGAAGTATAGTTTCTTCATCTTAACTAGAATCTAATTCTGGTCTGTCTAAAGTTACTGATCCAACTGCAGATCTCTGCTAAGACAAACTAGTTCAGTGCCAAGGTTCAGTTCTTTCAAAGAGAATGACACATTCTTTTGGCCATTTAACACGCTGCCCTGAGAGCAGGGCCAGTCCAGGAGAGGCGTCGGGCTCAGCCTGCAAGGCCCTGGAGTGGGGCTGGTCGCTAGACTCAGAGTTACAGGATTGTTTTGGTCCCACTCTTTTCTAGCTCCTTATTCCTTCTTTTTAAAATAAAGGTAACCAGGCCTGGTGGCACATACCTGTAATCCCAGCACTTGGGAGGCTGAGGCAGAAGGATCACTTCGAGTTCAAGACCAGCCTGGGCTATGTAGTGAGTTCAAGGCCAGCCTGAACTGCAAAGCAAGACCCTGTCTTTAAAATAAAAGGTTCATTCCATGCATTGTGTGTTAAAACTATTTAACTTTGACTTTTAAGAGTGCTGACAATTGCCTTGAAAGCACAGGTCCCAAGTTCGATCCCCAGTACCAAAAAAAGTGCTCACAGCTAACTTTGTCTTGAGTGTCAGAAGAGACTTTGGTCTTAAATTTTTTTTTGTTTTTGAAACAAGGTCTCTTTATGTAGTTCAGACTGGCCCTAAACTCACTACGTAGCCCAGGCTGGCCTCAAACTCATGATGATTCTCCTGCCTCAACCTCCCATGTGCTAGGATTACAGGTGTGTGCCACCATGCCCGGCCTGGTTTTAAACTTTTCAACAACACTAAATTTAAGATTTTTTTTTTTTTTTTTTTGGTACTGGGGATCGAACTTGAATCCGTGTGCTTGCAAGGCAGGCAGCGGAACCACTGAGCTAAGTCCCTGGCCCTAAACTTAAGATTTTTGACAACTCTTAGGCATAGACTAAATATATTTTACATCATAAGATAAACATGAAAACAAAAAAAAAGATAAACATGAGCCTTTTAGTGGCCAGAGACAGAATGTTCTGGTTTAGATCTAAAATGTGCCCTGAGAGCAGGTCTTTGGGAAGGTGACCGGATGGTGGGGTATCCACTGATGAGTGCATAGCTGAATGTGTCAGGAGGTGGGGACTGGCCAGAACAGAGCGTCACTGGGGTGCCACCTGGAAGGGTGTACTCTCTTTCCTGGCTCTTTCTGTATCTGTTTCCTGGCTGCCATGGCTCAAACAACTTCCCTCCCTCAGCCCCTTCTACTATGTTGTTTCTGCCTTGGAGCCAACCAGGCATGGACTGAATCCTCAAACTGTGAGCCCAATTAAACCTCTCATCTTTTAAAATATAAATGAATAAACTTGCCACAGTAAAGATGTAATTTTAAGCCACTAGCATAGACTTGTAACAGTTTACATGTCAGCAACCATTCCTTCCATATGTGATATTAAATTAGTTTCACTCCACCATTAATGAGTAGCAGAGTTGACAAAGTATGGGCTTTGGAGGTCAACAGACCCCAAGCTGCTGTAAGTTCAGGCAAGATACTTAACTCTATCAAAGGCTCAGGTTACTTATTTGTAAAATGTACCAAATAGTGCCTACTTACTGTGATTGGGACATTAGATAAGTGATAATACACCTTGCATGTGTAGATGCTCCATAAATGATAGGCGTGGGGCTGGGGATTTAGCTCAGTGGTGCCGGCACCTGCCTCAAAGGCGCAAGGTCCTGAGTTCAATCCCTGGTACCAATAAATAAATAAAAAGTGTTACTCAACAGCAGTGCCTCGCTGACAATCCTGTGTTTAAGAACCAACAAGGAAGGAGCCCAGGTTGTCTCTCACCAGGCGGGGCCATACCTTGGAGTGTGGCTGTGAGGTTTCCTTTAGATGGAAAACATTTGATGTGTTCGTCATCACAGACACCGTGCAGCGGGCTGAGCTGCTCACTGGGACACTCATTGACAGAAGCATCCCCCTTGCCCTCTATCAGCAACTTGGTGAAGTGTTGCTAAAATCATCCCCTTGGGCTGGGGATTTAGCTCAGTGGTTTCGCCACCTGCTGCACAAGCGCAAGGACCCGAGTTCGATCCCTGGTACCAAAAATATAAAATAAAATAAAATAAAATCATCCCCTTTCCAGGAGAGAAACCCAAGGCTGCAAGAGCTGTGATCTGCTCGCAGGTACCCTTTCAGCTTAAGGATGACACTGAAGCCAAAAACTAGAAGTGAAATTGGTGTAATTTTACAGGGTTAGTGAGAAGTACAACCCCAGAACCCATTTAAAGGGGCTGTGAGGGACTCAAATGTCCACATATTAAAAACACAATAGGGTCGGAGATTTAACTCAGTGGTTCCACCACCTCCCTCACAAGCTGAGGACCTGGGTTCAATCCCCAGTACCAAAAAAACCCCCATAATATTCAGGGACCTGGGATTTAGCTCAGTGGTGCCACTGCCTGCCTCGAAAGTGCAAGGTCTTGAGTTTGATCCCTGGTACCAAAAAAAAAAAACCCACAATATTCAAACCTAAATGCTAGATTTATTTCCTCTTTTTCTTCAGCGAACTATCCCATTTCCTCTAATGCTTAGAAGTGAAGCAATCAGGGGACATCTATGAATGAGAGACATAAGAGCAAGAAGAATGCAGTGTGGCCCTGGTGGCCCCACTGGCACCAGTCCTGAGTGATCAAGGGGTAGCAGCAAGGCAGGTCCTGCTGGGTCCCAGGAGCCTGGTGTGGAGGTGGTGAGCAGTGAGACTAGAAGACTCTGCCCCTGCAGCCACACCCAGGGCTGACGCCTGCAGCCCTAGGGTTCCCCGTAAATCCCCTGCTCAGTTCCTAACCCTGCCTCCCTTAAGTCTTACTATTGTTACTCACTTCAAGCTATTATTTTTCTCTCTCCCTGGATTCTTAATCCTCTTTAAAACGATATCTTTATACCTCAATAGCTCAGCGATATTTGTAGGGCAGGTCACGGGCAACTGACGTGCTTGAAAAGCCAGGGTTTGGATTCCTCACCCAGATGCTAAATCAAGTTCTGTTTCATCCATAGAATTTCCTAAGCACAAGCACTTTTAATTCTCCTTAATGTTGCTGGAATAACAATAATGTAAAACAGACCAGGGACAGCAGCACCCTCCTGTGGAGCAGCTGAGATGCTGAGTGTAGACAGCCATGGCTGCTCATGGACAGCGCCATCTTGGAGTGTTGAGATGGAGAAAGGCTGAAACACCACTGGGCTGGGTGATGGCCAAGGTGTCTTCTGGTCCTGAAATCCCACTGCTATCTCACTTCACCAAACACTGCTCATTTGGGCACTGGAAGGAGTCAGGAGGAGTTGTGTTATAAAATCAAGGAGTGACGTCTCCCCTCACTCATCACTGACCAGGAGGTACTTTGCTCAGTCACCCAACAAGTGTTCGTGCCAAGCCCTGATGTCAACACTGGGGGTTCTGTAGTGGACATGGTGAAGTCCTTGTCCTCATAGATTGTAGACAAGTGTGGAAGACAGAGAATAAATAGGGAGAAATAAGACAGTTTCAGATGCAGGGAAGCATTATGAAGAAAATAAAACCGGACAGTGTCAGAATGTCTACTTGGAGGAGGAGTGAGCTTTTGGGGGTGAGGAGAGCACCAAGAAGGAAGCAACCAGAGAAGATATGGGCGAAGTCAGTGCCGAGACCCTGAGAACAAGTGTGGTGTCCACAAAGGAGACCTGGGGGCTGTGAAGCTGGAAGTGGGCAAGGGCTGGATCATGTCATGCACGGTGGGCACAGGAAGTCAGGTGAACTCCTTTCTCAACATAGACAGGAAGCTGTAGAAGGGTCAGAGCGAGATCTGATTTAAGAATGTGCTGCTCTGGCTGCTGGGTTAGAGAGGAGAGTGACATAGGGCCCTGCTGAGAGGACCCAAAGGCCGATGCTTTGGGACTGGAGATACCTGCTTTGCCGTGAAGAGGCAGGGAGACACCAGCGGAAGCAGGCTGAGGACAGGGTCAGGGAGAAAGAAGGCGCAGACCAGGTTTGAGGGTGTTGCAGTCCTCCACTGCTTTCTAAAAGACATCCAGGGCCAGGGATTTAGCTCAGTGGTTCTGCTGCCTGCCTCGAAAGCGCAAGGTCTCAAGTTCAATCCCCGGTACCAAAAAAATTTTTTAAATTAAAAAAAAAAAAAAAAAGACATCCAAGGTGTCCGGGGATTTAGCTCAGTGGTTCCAGCACCTACCTTGCAAGCACAAGGTCCCGAGTTCAATCCCCGGTACCAAAAAAAAAGATATCCAAGGCTTAATGGCCTAAAACAGTGACAATGTTCACTCTGCTCACAGATCTGCAGGACCCGAGGGGACAGGGCCTGCTCTACCTGGTGTCAGCTGTGGTGCCTCCACATCTCTCTCATGCCTAGTGACTGTGTTCCTCGGGAAGGTCCTGACACAGGCAGGCAGAAGCCTATCCTGTTTTTGTTTTTGTTTTTTCAGTCCTAAGGATTGAACCTAGAGCCTTTACATTGAACTACATCCCCAGCCCTTTTAAAAATTTTTATTATGAGACAGGGTCTCACTAAACCATTAAGTTTCCTAGGGCTCACATTTTTGATTCTCCTGCCTCAGCCTCCCAAGTGTTGGAGTTACAGGAGTGCCCCACCACACACTTGCTGTGTTGTTTTAATACAGGTGACACTAAAGCCGGCTGGAATGCGGGTGGGAATGCCCCGTTAGAGAGGAATAAATGCAGGCTGCCTGGCACAAAAGGCATCGAGGGGAATGAAGCCCTTGAGGAGGAACATGTGCTGGAAACTGGAAAACGAAAAGCTAAGATTTAAGGGAGCTTTGGATACTGGGCTGGGGACCCAACTGCCCCCGGGACTGGTTTCCCGTCAGAGACCCCCATGTCTCACTAACCATGTGCAGGGCTGAGGCCCCGGTCACCTCCAGGTTCTACTCTTCGTGCCGGGAGTTGGTCCCCTTCCTGTCTAACATCAGACTGTCTGTGTCCCCAGGATGGGCCTCTGTGGAGCTGCCCAGTTCCCACCACAGGGCGGGCAAGAATGCAATGGGCTGGTCCCTGCTGTCATCCCTGTGTCCCTCACTCTGCTCTCTGCCTGTCTCTTACTCCTTTGGTTGGCAGGCCTCAGGGGAGAGCCTGACCCCATGGGGAGCTCAGCCCTGCAAGGGAATCTCTTAATGGCCTTAGGGCAGCTTAGCTGCAGGCGGGCACCCTCTCCCTGTCCCCTCCACATTACCCCCGGCATTCAGGCATTCAGTCGCCAGGGGAGAGAGAAAAGGCCGGACCAGCAGAGGAGAGACACACAGAGCCCTGGTCCAAGGAATCAGGGAGCAGAAGCCCCTAGGAGACAGTCTCTGTCCCTCCACATCCCCGGGCCAAGATGGGGCAGCAGTTCAGCTGGGGAGAGGTGGAGGCCGGAGAGATGGATGTGGCCGAGCTCCAGGAGCGGTACCAGAGGTTCGTGGTGGAGCGTGTTCCAGGGTCACGCTCTTCACGCACGAGTTCAAGCACCTCTTCAAGGTCACTGGCAATGAGGGTGCCAGCCAGTATGTGGAGGGCATGTTCCGGGCCTTTGACAAGAATGGGGTATGGCTCGCTGGAGGGACCTGTGGCCAGGCCACCTGGTGTCCATCCCATCCCTACATTGCTCTTTCCCAAACTCCTCCCGTCCTGTCATGCTGTCCTTGCTCCCCGCCTCCTCTTCCCTGTGGCTGGCGGTAGCGGTGAGCAGGCTTGGGTCCTCTGTGGGGTCTGCAGCCCAAGGGCTTGCCTCTCGAACCCACCAGTCACTCAGCAAAGTGGGAGGAGCTGTGAGTTCCCGTTCCTCACCCCTCGCTGGGTCCTGCCCATGGAGACTGGGCGGGTCTTCCTGTCATGAGTGTAGAGGAGCAGAGTGGAGGGATTGTTGGAAAAGTGCTTTCCCACTCTGGGATTCACAAAGTCAAGCCAACCTCGGGGTTTCCTGAAACCTTCTAGTGGCATCTGCAGCTAAGACACTAACTTCTGGGGAAATGTGTGAATTCAGCTCAATGAAAACCCTCTGGTCATCCCAGTTTACCCAGCCTAGGCCCCTACAGTCCTTTAGGTTTTGCCTCCAGTTCCTATTTCCATCCAGCACTTTGAGGGTGTGGGTTGGACCCCAGGGTTAATCTGGAGAACCCCGGAAAGCCACTCAGGTCTGCTGCTGGCCCCATCAGGAAGGGAGGGCAGCCACCATCTTCGGTGCCACAGAACGGCACAGAACCACCTGTGGAGATGGATCCTGTCAGCCGCCCCAGGGCTCAGAGCCCCCTTTCCTCCCCTCAGCCCCTCCCCAGGCTGCAGCCCTGTGTGGGATGGAGCAGCAAAAACCAGGGCAAAAGAAAGGAAACCGATATGCCCAAGGCTATATGCTCAGGTGCTCCCACCTTATCCTTACCTTAGGAGCTGAGGGTGGGGGCAATTAAGATTAAAAAATGATGTTTGGTGGGTTTTTTGTTTGTTTTTTTGAGACAGGATCATGCTAAGTAGCCCAGGGTGGTCTCGAACTCAGCAATCTTCCTGCCTCAGCCTCCCAAGCGCTGGGATTACAGGCTTGTGCCACTATGCCCACCCGGTTCCCAAATTGGATAGTTTTCTAATGTCACCGCCCTCTCTGACCATTAGCCGGCATCCTGCAGTGAGGCAGAGCTTCTGGACGGTGTTCCCTTCCTCTGCCGGCCTCTGAGCCTTCTCTTTCTACTTAGTCTCTGTCTCCAAATCCACACTCACGCCACTCCTCACCTGGGTGCAATCTTTCTATCAGGGAGTTTCATTTCTGGACAAGTTCATAGGTCTAGCCAGGTGGCACATGCCTGCCATCCCAGCATTCAGGAGGCTGACACAAGAGGATCACTGCAAGGCCAGCGTGGGCTACATAGTGAGTTCAAGGCCAGCCTGAACTATATAGTGAGACCTCGTCAAAAAAAGAAAGAAAGATGCCGGGGATTTAGCTCAGTGGTTCCATTGCTTGCCTTGGAAGCACAAGGACCTGAATTCGATCCATGGTACAAAAAAAAGAAAGGAAGGAAGGGAGGGAGGGAGGGAGGGAGGAAGGGAAGGAGGGAGGGAAGGGAAGGAATAGACCTTGAGTGGGGAGCCGAAGTCTCTGACTCGATGACCTGGAGGAACGGTGCAGCTTAAGGCTCTGTGCGCAGCTGGACAGTGGCGCACATGGTGCCCCAGCGCTGAGCCCACCTCACCCCCACAGGACAATACCATCGCCTTCCTGGAGCAGGTGGCGGCCCTGAACCTTGTGCTGTGGGGCTCTCTGGAGCACAAGCTCCGGTGGACCTTCAAGGTCTACGACAAGGACCGCAATGGCTGCATCGACCACCTGGAGCTGCGGGACATCGTGGAGGTGCGGGGCTGGGTGGGGCAGGGTTCGGCCCGCCTGAGGGCGGTTGCTGAGGACTTGGATCTGGTGGCAGCCTGGAGCCGGCCTGGGGTGTGGCTCTGGGGACAGGGCCCTGGGTAGGGGTGGGGCTGGCTGGGTCAGAACCACTGCTTCCCTCCTTATAGTCCATTTACAAGCTAAAGAAAGCCTGCTGAGCAGAGGCAGCCAAGGGCTGCTCACGCCCGAGGAGGTGGTGGACAGGATTTTCCCCCTGGTGGACCAGAATGGGGACGGCGAGAGGCCGGGCAGGGGTGGGCTGACTGCTCTGCTCCTCCCCAGGGCCTGGGAGCGCCTGTGTGCGAGGCCCCCACTTCCTGACACCAAACCCCTCATTGTGAGCTAGCGGAGGGGAGGGTGGCGTGAAATAGCAAAGGGCACCACCGGCATTGGCATTGTCGACCCTGGGGCCACGGATAGGGGGCCAGGCATGCGGAGAATTCAGGGACTGTTGGCCTCAGCCTGGTCTCCATGAGGGCACGGTGGGGAGGCTGAGGGTGGCCAGGAGGACTGATGGGGTTGTGTGGAAGAGCCAGGCAGGTGTTCGGTGTGGTGGTGCACATCTAGGAAGGCCGAGGCAGGGATCACATAGGCCAGCCTGGGCAGTCGAGCAAGACCCTGTCTCAAAAATTAGAAAATAAAACAGCTGTGGTGGCGAACGCCTGTAATCCTAGCACTAAGGGAGGCTGAGGCAGGAGGATCAACTGGGTTGAGGCCAGCCTGAACTACATAGTGAGACCTTGTCTCAAAAAAATGTATTTTTTGTTTTGTTTTGTTTTGTTTTGTTTTGGTACCAGGGATGGGACTTGGGTCCTTGCACTTGCGCATCAGGCAACGAAACCACTGAGCTAAATTCCCGGCCCCCAAAAATTTTTTTAGGGCCAGGGATTTAGCTCTGGTTCCGGTGCCTGCCTTGCAAGTGCAAGGTCCTGAGTTCAATCCCTGGTACCAAAAAAAAAAAAAAGTTTTAATAAAAAAGGGCTGGGAATGTAGCTCAGCGCAAAGGCCCTGGGTTCAGGCCCCAATACCACCACCAGAAAAAAAAAAACAAAAACAGATCCAGGCAGGGGAGACCTCCTTTATATCTTCTTGGGAGTCTCAGCATGTCAGAGGTGTTGTGGGCCAATTCACCTGTGGAGAAAGCCCTGGGCTCCAGGGGGCTCCTGGGAAATCCGAGGGTGGACCAAGCACTCGGAGACTGCAGACTGGTGTGCAGAGGAGCTGCAGGTGGATCCCCAGAGAGGAGGTCTCTACCTGTCCTGCCCCTGCCCCTGCCCCTGCCCCAGCCCCGGTCTTCCCAGCTTCGGTGACCATCCGCCCCCCTCCCAGGCCAGCTGTCCCTGGACAAGTTCATCGAAGGCACCCGTCGCGACCAGTGGGTGATGAAGATGTTGCAAATAGACGTGAACCCCGGCGGCTGGATCAGCCAGCAGAGGCAGAAAACTGCCGTGTTCTGAAGCCCACACGCCAGGCCCAAGCCTCTCCTGCTCGGGTCATCCTGGTTGTCAGAGGAGTGGGCGGGGCCGCGCCACTCTTTCCTTGGCGCCCCCTGCCGGGCCTGAGGAGGCCAAGGGGACTCAGTCCCTTGTGCAGGGCCCGCTGGGGTCCGAAGGGGACTTGGCTGCTCGGCCCCTCAGAGAACTCTGCCTCGCTGGAGGATGAGGGGTCCTGCACGCTTCTAGGAGTCCTCAGTGGGAAGCAGGGCCCAGGTGGAGAAGGGGATCCCCCAAACTGGTTCAGCAAGGCGAGCGCCCGTGTTTCGGGGTGGGAAGCAAAGATGCAGGAAGCTGGAGGTGCTGAAGGCAGGGTGTGTCTTGGGGGTCACAACCACAACCCCTCCAGGCGCCCCAACATTGCCCTTGGGAGGCCCTCCCACCTCCCCCAGGATGTCACCAGGGGCCCACTACAGCAAGACAGCTGTGGTCCTTCTGCCCCTGAGGCTGCTGTGCGAATGAATGGGGCTGTCGGCTCCGCCCCTCACCAAGGCTCCCACCCCCTGCCTGCCGCCCACTTCAGGGTGGAGCTTCACCCCCCCAACCCAAATATGGAGGAAGCTTCTCTGGGGCCTGCTGACCAGGGCCAGGCTTTGCCTCCAGTGGCTGTGGGCCCCTTTCGAACACTTCTTTTCCCTGACCTTGTGCAGGTTGGACTAAATGAGCAGGTTTTACATTACTGCTTTTAGGTGTGGAATTTTTTGTTGTTGTTCTACAAACTCTTTTGTGCAACCCCAATATAGAAAATAGATTAAAAGAGAGCCCTTTCAGTTGAAGACGGCTGAGAAGCTCAGACCCCTCCAAGAACAGGAAGTGAAAATCAGCACCCCCGAGCAGGTTACCCCATAAAACAATTTCCTGTGGGACCTGAATAGCAAGCACTTGCTTTACCTTCAATAGATACATTTTTCATATTTGATGCATAAAATATAAAACTCATGTATTGAACCCAAGGTTTCATAAGTATGATTTTTCATATGATGCTCATTTAGAAATCAATGTTAGGTTGAAAATGGTTGGTTAAAAATACTAATTCTACCCCAGCTGGGACAGAAATAGGCCCCATACCCCACAGGGGGCCTGTGGATCAGGCTGGGGACTACTGTCCTGATGACAGGCAGACCCCCTCCTACTCTGATGCCCAGGATTTCCCAAGGCCACAAGCAAGACAAGGACCAGAGATCCCAGCTCCTGTCCCCCTGGGCCCAGGCTGACTTCCCTGTCCTGCATGGTCCAAGCGATGGGCAGGACAGCAGTGACAAAAATGTCCCCCTCTTGTCCCCATCTCAGAAAGGCACTCCCTGACCGGCATTCCACTCCCTTTGGCCCTTTTTGCTTTCCCACCCCTGGGTTTTTATTTACTCCCCTGCCTCCCCCTAGCCCAGCTGAAGCGAAGGCACGAGGCCCAGAAGAAAGGGCATCTTTGAAAAATGGGTCACAGGTGCTCCAGCCCGCATCACCCAGAGGCTCCCCCGCAGCCAGGTGGCTGTAATGGTGGGGGGCACCGATAAACCCGGCCTTGGGCTGCAGATCTCTGAACTGGCTTTGCTGAAAGTAGAGGTGTCCAGGGGTCCAGGACAGCACCCACCTGAGTACGACCCTGACAGAAGACCTAACCTCCCAGCTCCTCTCCGTGTGTTCCATCAGAATGATGCTTCCCCGTGTGCTTCCCACTGGGCTCCGGGCTCCTGAGGCGCACTAGAACTGTCTTCTTTGTCTACTGCACTGTACACAGCAGGTGCTTAATAAATGCTTGTTGCAGGAAGAATACATCAATGCAGATTGCACAGGTGGGCCCCAGGTTCAGGACAGGATGTGCTGCTGCCCCAAAGCTGAGGCTGTGGCTGCAGCTCTGTTGGACTCGACAGAGACCCAGGAAGCCCCAGCTCTAGAAGGGGTTGGGGTGGGGAGTCCTGGAGGTCCCAGGATCCATCCTCCTGCACCCACCCTGGATGCCAGCTCCCGCCCCTCTGCTGCCCCCACACAAAGAGGCGAGCTGAGCCCACGAGCAAGTGGATCCTGTGTAATATTAGGATAACAACAGCGACAGTGACACCAGGCCCCACCCGGGCTTCCCTCCCACCCCGGACAGGAGCCAGGCTCAGCCCGCTGCCCCCACCGCGTCGCCTGGCACCTCTTCCTGCTCCCTGTTCTGCAGCCTGCGCACGATGCCGGTGAGGTCCAGGCTGCGGGTCAGCGTGTCCAGCAGCACCTGGTCCTTCTGGACGCCCTCCAGGAACTCCTCCAACGAGAGCTCCCCTAGGATAGAAATGGGCCGCAGGCCGGGGTCATGCCTGTCGTCCAGGGCCCGGAGTAGGTACAGAGGGCAAGGGGTCCCCAAAGATCAGCTCTGTGGCTGGGGCAGAGGCGGGTGGGGCGGTGACCAGCAGAAGGTCCTGCATGCCCACCGTGACCTTCCACTCCCGCTGACCCCTGCCTGTGCCCCATCACCCCTCACCCTCTGACCCTGCCCTGTGCCCTCAGCCCCGTCCCTCCGCCCTCACCGTCCCCGTTGACGTCGATCTTGGCGAACACGGTGTCCGTGAACTCCTCAGCACTCATGGCCGTGGCGCTCCAGGGGTTGATGGTGCGGATGGCCTGGGAGAGGAGAGCTGAGTGAGGGATGCAGTGGACGCTCTGTCCCCAGTACCAATGGCGAAACTGAGGCCCACAAAGAGAGAACACGCCGCTGGTGAGGACTGCAGCGGTCCCAGACTCCCCATTCCCATCTCATCCCAAAGGTGGCCAGGCCCCGCTGGCCCTCTGCACCTGGAGTTACCCGGATGATCGTGAGCAGCTCATCCCTGTCAATGCAGCCGTTGCCATCTACATCGTAGAGCTTGAAGTACCAGCGTAGCTTCTGCTCCACCTTCCCCTTGAGGACCAGGCTGAGCGCAGCCACGTACTCCATGAAGTCGATGTAGCCATCCTGGGGGGAGGGGCCGTGAGTCGGACCACGCCCGCCACAGGCCACTCCCATAACACCCAGGCACGCCCACCCAGCCAGTCCATCAGCCGGACCAAGCCCATTTCACCAGGGCCACGCCCACAAGTCCGAGCCACCCCTCAGTCATAGTATCCACCGGCCCTCCAGGGGCACGCCCATCCACCCGGGTCACGGCCTTGGGCTCCGCCCATCTGAGCCCCAGTACCCCAAGAGATCCTCATGGGAGGCTAGGATTCCCTGGAGACTGGCCTGGGAGGCCACCTCTGTCCCTGCGCTCCTCTCCCCCTTGGTGCCACCCCTACCTATCCTCCTGGATGTCCCGCATAGCTCGGCCCCGTGTAGCCTAGGCTCCCAATCAAATCCAGTAAAGCACCCCTGGGGCGTGTGAGCGGTGGACGCAGTCCCTTCACAGACTTTTCGGGTTTAGCTGTCATGGCTGCTTCCCTGTCCTCTGCGCACCAGCCCTTCTCTTTAGGGACAGCACCCGTGTTCGGAGGAGCGCTGGCCGGACTGGGAGGGCCAGGAGGCTGATGTGGAGCAGGGAGTAGCTGACTCTTTCCTCTGCTTGGCCTGCACCGAGCCCTGCTTCAAGCTGTGACTGGCTGTGAGGTCCAGAGCCAAAGGAGCTACGTGCCCTGTCCTGGTAGGGAGTGTTGGGTTACAGTTTGAATCCTGGCTCCAGCCCTCAGAGCTGTAGGATCTGGGATAAAAGACTCTTTATGTCCTCAATTCCCTCATCTGCAATGGGTATAATGGTCCCTGCTTCTGTGGGATTGTTGGGGATGAAAGGGTTCATGTATATAAAGCACTCACAACCAAGACTCTGAAACCAGGAGGTCACCAAGAGGCCAATTTGGAGCCCACATAAAGGACTCTTGGGCAAGCAGCACTGCCTGCGGAACAGCCAGCCTGGGGCCTGGTGCAGTACTGAGCTCCCCATCACTGCAAGTGCACAAGCAGAGGCTGGCAGGGAGGTGGCAGAGCCAGGGCAGGACGGTCTCTGAGATCCCCTGGTCCAGGTCCCAGTGGGCACACCTGTGTGGTCTTCCCATGGTCAGGGGCTTCCAAAAAGGTTGGAAAGCAGGAAAACTGCCAAGGAGTGTCCCCTTGGCCAGGGGGTGGGGAAGGGTGCTTTTGCCTGTCTTTTTTATCTTCCTACAACACACTGTATTAGTTTTGTAACTAAAAAATAATGATTATGGGCCAGGGGTTTAGCTCAGTGGTTCTGCTGCCTGCCACACAAGTGCAAGGTCCCAAGTTCAATCCCCGGTATCAAAAAAAAAAAAAAGATTATGAAAGGACAGTGGCAAAATTAAGGGGGTTTCCACCCAAAAGACCTAACCCACCTTTCAGGGGAGGAGCAACCTTGGCCCATCACGCAGCCTCCAGGAGCCTCTGTGCTCTCAGCGCTGAGGCAGGGATCACAGTGTGGTTTGGACTCAGTGACAGTCCCAAAGAGCTCATGTACTTTAGTGCTCCCGGGCATTTCCTGTGCTGAGCCCTGGACAACCTGTACTCAGATTCGGGCTGCTGGGGCTGCCTTCAAACCTCCCAGTCTTAGCTCTGCAGTGCCCAGGGCTGAATCCACCTCCTGCCCAGTCTCTAAACTGCTCTGTGCTGATGCCAGCGAATCAAAGCTGTGTCATTACACGGGGTGTCACAAGCATGCTCTGCTTTTTAATAACTGTGTAGTTAGGAGCTGGAGCCAGGCGTGGTGGTGTAAAAACAAACAAAAAAGCCCCTGCCCTTGTAGAGCTCATATTCCTCCAGGGGAAGATAATGATGACAGAGGTTAAATGTCACTTAAAATCTGGTCTCAAACTTGGTATGGTGGCACACATTTTTAATCCCAGCACTGGGGAGGCTGAGGCAGAAAGATCACCACAGGCCCGAGCCCAGCCTGGGCTATATAGTGAGTTCAAGGCCAGCTTGAACTACACATCGATATTCTGTCTCAACCCCAAAAAATTTTTTAAAAAGAAAATATAGTATCAGAAGATGAGAAGTTCCAGGGGTCGGAGAGCAGGAAATGTAGAGGCAGGGGCCAGGACTATTTGTTGTTGTTGTTGTTGTTGTTGTTGTTTGTGATACTAGGGAATCTACACTGAGCTAGATCCCCATCCCTTTTATTTATTTATTTTTTGGGGGGGTCAGTCTCACTAAGTTGCCCAGGCTGGCTTTGAACTTTTGATCTTCCTGCCTCAGCCTCCTGAGTAGCTAGGATTAAAGGTGTATGGTCCCCTGGAGGGCACTGGGGTCCAGTGTGGTGACACCACCCCTCCTGGTCTCTGCCCTGCTCTGCATCCCCCCCAGAAAAGCCCTGGGGACCTGGATGCTGCCCTTGAAATTAGGACTCCAAGCCTCCAAGCCTGTAATCTGCTTTGGCCCCTAAACCCCACATATTAGGGAGTTTTAAATAGCTATGTGGCCCTAGCTGTCCCCAAGGCCCCACCCACAGTGGAGCTGGACCCCTCCCAGGAACCACTTGATGTCACCTTCCAGGTTTGGGGACAGCAGGGTGGGAACTGGGCTTGTGGTGCTGGATTTTTACCACAGTATCAGCTCAAATTGCTCCAGATAAATGGAAGATTGATTACTGAAAACCAGCATCTTAATGCACCATCTTAATGCACTGTGGCTAAGAAGGGAGACGGGGCTCAAACTCCCCTGTCCCAGTCTCCTCCAGCTCCTCAGGAGGACACCCAACATGGCTGGGGTCATACATGGCCTTCAGACTCACGTGTGGAGAGGAGCTGGGGTTCCGGGGCTTGGATTTGGGGTGTCCTGGTCCTCAGTGACCAGGCGCCCCTGCCCGTCCCCCGTCCTAGCCTCCACAGTGTCATGGTTGACCCAGTTAACTGAGGTAAGCTGGCCCTGCCCAGGCCAGCCCAGCGCTGCTCTCTGCCCTCCTCCCTCGCCCTCATGATCTGCCCAGGCCTTTGCACAGCACCAGGTGCTCAGTGACACCCTCGGAAGCACCGTGCTTGTTTCAGAGAGACCGAGACACATGCCATGTGGAAGAGGCAGAGAAGCCCCCTGAATTTGGCCTCCAAACTATCTACTTTGTGGGCTCCTCTGTCTCCCCCAGAAGCAAGGGCAGGGACAGGGTCTGATTCACTTCTGAGTGGAGTAGTTGCTCCACAAACATTGGATAAATGAAATCCCTGCCATCAAAAGTCTGTCTCCTAGCCAGGTGTGGTGGTGCATGCCTGTAATCCCAGAAGTCTGGGAGGCTGAGGCAGGAGGATTTCGAGTTCCAGCCCAGCCTGGGCATCTTAAGGACTTAGTGAAACCCAGTCTCAAATAAAAATTTAAAAGTGCTGGGGGTGTAGCTCAATGTGAAGGCCTTGGGTTCAATCCAGGGAGATTTGGCTTCCAAATCACTATAAACAGAGCTGCTCTTGCAGGGATGCTTCTGTCCCTGCCACCCTTCCTCACCCCCAGGCCGCGCCCCTGCCCACCTTGTTGAAGTCAAAGGTATCGAACATCTGCTCCACATACTGGCTGGCCGAGGGGCTCAGGTTCTTGAGGCCGAAGAACTGGCGGAACTCATAGAGGGTGAGCTGGCCCGAGGGGCACTCGGTCATGAACTTCTTATACCACTGGTGACACTCAGTGCTGCTCAGCTCCTCCACCGACTTGCCCTCCACCACGTTGCCCATGGCCCGGCCTCGGGAGGCTGGCTGGGACCCAGGGCTGCCTCTGTCACAGCCTCGAGGCCTCCAGGTCTGTGCTCCGAGGATGGATGGAGTGGCTGGCTGGAGGAGAGAGGTGGCCCATGCCCGAGTCAGGCCAGTATTAAAAGTCTTCACTAGGGCCGGGGATTTAGCTCAGTGTTTCGCCACCTGCTACTCAAGCGCAAAGACCTGAGTTCAATCCCCGGTACCAAAAAAAAAGTCTCCACTAAACCCTGGCAGCAGGGCCTGCACCCAGAGCAGCAGCTCCCCAGATTACAGCCTTGAGCTGGGGGAGAAGAGGCTTTCCCTGTCCAGCTGGCGATCTCCTAATCCCGCTTAGCACCCATGGGTGGCGGCCAGCACCTGCTATGATCCTGTGGCCTCTGCACCCTGCTCATCCTGTTCTGTAGGTTCGCAATGTTTCTGATCCTGCCCCAGACAGAGAAGAGAGACCTGGTTACAGCCAGGAATGGTGGCCCGTGCTTGCAATCCCAGCACTTAGGAAGCTGAGGCAGGAGGATCACTTCGAGTTCAAGGCCAGCCTGAACTACATAGAGAGAC